TTTTTCAAAAATAATTTTCTTCAATTTTTTTGCGAGTCTTATGACTCACAAACCCCTACTTTACTGTGGGTCCCAGACCCAAAAGAACTGATGCAACCTCAGGTCCCTGACCTAAAAGAAATCCACTGCCCCCCAGTGATTTCTTGACTATGGTACCTTTAACACAAAGCTTTGCCGATTCACACAGCGGCCCCAGGCCTGCCCTGCTGACACGTCTGTCACGCTCACCCTGAGAGGAAGCGAGAATCGTTCCACTTGAACAGTCTACTCACCAAAAAGAGAGTGTTGCCTGCCACCAGGTTCTTTGTGGATCACAGCGGTGAGGGAGCCTCAGACACTCAGGCGTCAGGCCCTCAACGTCTCACCCGCATTTTGGAGGGGAGGTTTGAGTGTCAAACTCTGGCCGTACGGTTTTTCACCTGCAGCTCCGAGTGTCTGAGTCCTCTCACGCGTGTGACGAGCCGACAACGCCAAAATTGTGGTGGGAATTGCGTTTAAATAAACAGCTCAGGCAAGCTCTTGTCTTTCTGTGAATTTTATTCAAGTCTTCTGCAGAAGGACTCAGAGCAAAACACATACGCAGTGTACAAGTATGCTCGAATGAGTGAGGAGAGCTCTGTGAGCCTGTTATTTATCCAGCTTTAGGGTCAATCTTATCATCGCACAGAGACACATTGTCCCTGAAGTCTGGATACCACAGAGTACAGAGATATTTCGACTGTTACGTTTACACAGATTCAGTGCCCCATATCAGATGAGTCTCCCTGAGTCCAGAGTTACATGCATTATGTTTGGAATTCCCATTACAAACCAAAGGCTGAACTGTTCTTCATTTCCTCAACTTAAACTTTCTCCCTTAATTTCAAAACACTAAGTGCACATATTATATTATATTATAATATCATTATGTCTAACTACTACTGCTGATTACAGTGTTAAAGTAAAAAGATCTAATCTATTAGTTATACTTTCTGTTCAGTTATTGGCTGAATGACTTGTGTCATATTTCATTTTGGCTCCTAACACCTGACAAAAACATTTAAAACTTACTTCCAACAAGATTTGGACACTAAAATGGTGAATGATAATTTTCAAAGGACAGGAAACAAGCTTTGTTTTGTGCCAGTGGAGAAATGACAGGAAATAAGGGAGAGAGCAACAAAGGTCCCTGCCGGACTTAAACTGGGGTTGTGTCTTAAGTGGAAACAAAGTTTAACTCTAAAAATATTAAAAGTGGAAAAAAATTAAGTCTTAGAAGGAGTAAAATTTAGATTTAAACAGAAAACATGCACTTGTTTATTTGCGGTAAATCCCATTAACTCCCCTCAACATATGAATAATTAAAAATATATATGCAGTTGTGGTTTGGTTCATTGATTTACCCAGAGATTATCTGAAAGTGCACTGAGGACCAATGTAAGACTTTGTTATCAGAATAATGTCAAGAAAAAGGAATATAGCCTGGTGACTAAACGTCTGATTGGTCAGCCAACAGAGAGGGAGGAGGTGTAAAATTACAGGACAAAGAGAGAGCAGAGGAATTAACATCCTAACTCTTTCTTGGTGTTGCTGTTTGATATTTATACACTTTAATTCTTTAACTGGGACAGATGAGCAGTTTAACCCAGACAGTGAATAAAATGAGTCAATAGTTACTATAAATCTTTAATCAACACTTTTAATAATCTGAACAATCTTCTCTATAAATGTTGATTCAAAGACCAAAAGACACTTCTTTGTACCCTGATGGTGTTCAGCTTTAATTAAAATATAAAAGGTCAGTTCAGGAAAAGTTTTTGAATTTGATTTCATGCTGATAAAATGATTATTAGTAGGTTACACTCATACATTGCCACCTTAAGCAGGAGGAGCCACATTTGATCTGGTCTGTGTAAAAATGGCAGCTGCTATAGAAATGACTGAGCCTGGCCAACATCAGTCATTCAGTCCTGAGGTGAAGCGTTACTGCAGGAACCTGAGGTTGGTTACTGAGAGCATCAGGCTGCAGATGGAGCTACAGATATAATGTGTTTCAACTGTTTCTACACACAGTTCACTGTTTAACTGGACGATATAATGTGTTGCAGGTGTTGAAATCATTGTATCTGTTCATGTTTTGTAGTCTTGGATTTCTTTTTTGAACACTCAGGATACTTGGATACTCTGACAGTATCCATAGTAACAGCAGTATCCTCAGATCAAGGAGAAGAGAAATAAACAGAGAGGTGAATAAAGATGTTTCAGAGAGAAGCCACTTCCTCCCACAGCGTCTCTGTGCAGGTAGAAACAAACCTGTGAGCTCTGTTCTGTTTCATCACTTTATCATCTAGTTTATTAGATTAACAACAGTCCACACTGAACTACAGGGAAACACTTTATTCATCTTTTAGAAGCACAAACAAAGAAAGCAAAGATTAAAGATTGATCTGAATTCTGTCTTAGGTTGATGTCATCAGTTATAAAGCATCCAGTCTTATCTGACATGGAACAAAACAAAGAAACATCAGAGCGTTCATCGTCTATAATGTCATTCTGCATCATTCTGATTGATCTGATCAGCAGTTTAAATGATCTTCATGCTGTTTAATGTTTCATATTTGCTGTGATATTTGTGATTTGCAGAGAAAACAGGGTGAATGACATCTAAACATTTCATTTCACTTCCAGCACAAACATCATGTTCTTTCTCATATTCAAAAGAAAACAAAGATCATCTGTAATGAGCGAGCAGAGCTTCAGCTGCTGAAGTCTTTCTTTACTAAGCTGCTGTCTGTTTTTAGCAGCAAATAATTACACAAACTATTAGGACAAAAGAAAAGAAAAGGCAATTATTCCCAGCAAAAGAGTTTTAAAAGAAGAAAAGAAAACCAACAGAGCAGAAAGATTTTCTACAGACTGAAAATGTGCAGGCTGAAACAGCAGCTCACCCTTTTTTACAACCCTCAACTTATTAGAGGTGAAAAAGTCAAACCAAATGACTAATATCTCTAAATATAATATATAAACTTTACAGAAAACCCAGTGAAACAGAGAAGACCCTGAATGTTACAGATGAAACAATTATTTTTAGTAAAATAGAGCAGAAGTTTGAAACAATTGACTGAACAGAGTCACTGAGTGATTTAGATATTAAAAGCCTGATTGATAAATACAGACAGACAGAAATCAACATTTTGTCACTGAAAGAGTCTGAAAAGATCCAGAAAGCTCTCAGACTCTACACTGGAGCTGACCCAGAGGGATAGATCAGCAAACAACCAAAATACAAAATAGAAAAAATGTAAATAAGCAGTTTGGAAAATTGTCCCACAGTGATTTCTGCTGTGTTTTGGTTGAATGTCATGATCATTTGCTTCAGTCATGAATCTCTTCAACCAAAATAAAGTAAAATAGAAAATAAAGTTAGAAACACCTTTTCTGTGATCAAGATCATTCGTCTGAGCAGAACAGCAAGTCTGACACTGTAAAGTCTTGTATTCTGCACAAAGTTTTAGTTTCGACCAGTCAGTTAACTACATCAGTACTGCTGCTACGGTAACCTGCAGTTTAATATTATAAGCTACTGATTTAGACACCCGACAGCCAATGAGAAGTATTTATGTGGCCGTGGTTACAGTGTAGTCCACTGCAAAATATTACATTGAAATCTTTGTGTCTTTAAAGTTTCAGTTATGGAGACCAAAAGAAAACAGAAAAAAGGGAAAACATCTGAAACTGCTCTGTTGATGTCTGTGGAGATTCTCAGTCATCCAGGTCATTGTTATCCAACGAAGGTTAAAGTCAAGGGCAACTGGACTTGGTTGAAGATACTTGAAGACGTTTCATCCCTCATCCAAAGGACTTCTTCAGTTCTGACTGACTGGCAGGGAAACTCAGCTATTTAACCTCAGTGGGGTCGTTTGTCAGGATCTTCGATACCGCTGGTTCGTTTGTGTTCCTTCACAGAACACATCAATTCTGTGAAGACTCACATCGAGTCCACACGAGAAGATGTCCACAACAACAGTTTAGCCTACCTGGACACACTGAAGAGGACAGGAGCCTGCAGATTGGTGTTTACAGAAAACCCCCACACACAGATCAATACTTTTTGATTCCCACCACCCACTGGAGCACAAGCTAGGGGTCATGAGAACTTTACTTTACTACCACAGAGCGGAAAACATACCAACAAGTGCAAAAGCCAGAGAGAAGGAACAGAAACACCTGAAGGGGGCACTTACAGCCTGTGGATACCCTAAATGGGCTTTTGTGAAAACAGCCACAAGATCCAAGAAGAACAAAACTACAGGGGAGGAGGAAAAGAAGGTCAAACGCAACAACATTGTGATTCCATACGTGTCTGGAGTATCAGAGAAACTCAGGAGGATTTTTAACAAACATAACATCCCTGTGTTTTTTAAACCCAAGAACACACTAAGACAGATGCTGGTACACCCCAAAGACCGCACACCCAAACACAAGAAAAGCAATCTAGTGTATGCGGTCCAATGCAGTGAGGAATGCACAGACCTGTATATTGGGGAGACTAAACAACCACTACACAAACGCATGGCTCAACACAGAAGGGCCAACTCCTCAGGTCAAGACTCTGCTGTCTACTTACATCTGAAGGACAGAGGACACTCGTTTGAGGACCACCAGGTGCACATTTTAGACAGAGAAGATGGATGGTTTGAAAGAGGTGTCAAGGAAGCATCTACACCAGGGTTGAGAAGCCGTCATTGAACAGGGGAGGGGGTCTACGCCACCACTTATCCCCCACTTACAATGTTGTCCTTTCATCACTTCTCAGGAAACTCAACAAACGTAACCTATTGGCCTCAGGTGAAGATACCAACGATGGTCGTTCAGTCTCGGCCACAGGTAGTCTTAACGACTGTAACGACTGTCGTCACAGCAACAAGGAACACTAACGAACCAGCGGTATCGATGACCCGGGATAACGACCCCACTGAGGTTAAATAGCTGAGTTTCCCTGCCAGTCAGTCAGAACTGAAGAAGTCCTTTGGATGAGGGACGAAACGTCTTCCAGGATCCTCAACCAAGTCCAGTTGCCCTTGATTTTAACCTTCGTTGGATGCTCTGTTGATGAGACATGAAACAAAGCCTCATAATATGGGACAGCTTGTGCCGTCTTGTTTCATAAGTTCCTCTATCAGTTCACTTATTTGTTTGTCATGTGTTTCATGCAGATTTTTCTTTTCCTCCTCATTTTTCTTATTCTTCATTTCTTGTTCATGTTTTTCCAGTAAGCGCTTGATTCGTTTCTTATTGTCTTTCTTTTTGGTCACACATTTCAAGACTTCAGAAATTTTACCTCGATATACTTGCTTCATTTGTTCTTCTTTGTGAGCTGAAAGTGCCTTTAAGAAGTCAAATTGTTTATCTTTCTCTGTCATTTCTGCCTCATGCTGTTTCTTCTGAGCTGTAAACTCCTTGGTGTATTTCTCTTTGAATTCATTAAACTCTTCAGCTTTCTTTCTGGCCTCCTCTTCATATGTCTTCTTCAGATCCTCCATTTCTTTCTTATAGTTCTCCTTGATGTCTTTTCTCTTTTTCCTCTTGTTCTCGTCTAATTCTGTCCTCTTCCAGTTTTTTCTTTTCATAATTTTCTCTTTCCTGTTCATATTCTTCTTGAAGCTTTCTAAGTCTTGTTTGTTCCTCCTGTCGTCTCTGTTCGTCTTCTTGTTTTCGTTTTTTCCACCATTCTCTTTGTGTTTTCTCCCAGTTCTCTCGTTCTTTTCTCATCTCTTCTCTGCTCTCCTTCAGCTTTCTGTCAATGGTTTCCTTTGATTCTGACTCTGATCTTATATTTTGCTCCAAAGCTTCAACCTTTCGTTTCCACTCCTGTCGTTGAATTTCTTCCTGTTGTTTTCTCTTCTTGTCTTCTTCTTCTCTCATTTCCTGTTCTTTCTTTCTCTCCTCACGTTCCTTCTTTATCTTCTCCTCCTTTTCTTTAAGTTCTTTTTCTCTCAGTTTTCTCTCCTTTTCAATTTCTGCTCTCTGTTCTTTTTTCCTTTTTTCCTCTTGTTCTCTTCTGATTCTGTCCTCTTCCTTTCTTTTCTTTTCATAATTTTCTCTTTCTTGTTTGTATTCTTCTTGAAGCTTTCTAAGTCTTGTTTGTTCCTCCTGTCGTCTCTGTTCTTCTTCTTGACATCGTTTTTCCCACCATTCTCTTTGTTCTCTCTCATATTTCTCTCGTTCTTTTCTCATCTCTTCTCTGCTCTCCTTCAGCTTTCTGTCAATTGTTTCCTTTGATTCTGACTCTGATCTTATGTTTTTCTCCAAAGCTTCAACCTTTCGTTCCCACTCCTGTCGTTGAATTTCTTCTTTTTGTTTTCTCTTCCTGTCTTCTTCTTCTCTCATTTCCTGTTCTTTCTTTCTCTTCTCACGTTCCTTCTTTATCTTCTCCTCCTTTTCTTTAAGTTCTTTTTCTCTCAGTTGTCTCTCCTTTTCAATTTCTGCTCTCTGTTCTTCTTTCTCTTTTTCCTCTTGTTCTCTTCTGATTCTGTCCTCTTCATTTCTTTTCTTCTCATAATTTTCTCTTTCCTGTTCATATTCTTCTTGAAGCTTTCTAAGTCTAGTTTCTTCCTCTTGTCGTCTCTGTTCTTCTTCTTGTTTTTGTTTTTTCCACCATTCTTTTTGTGTTTTCTCCCAGTTCTCTCGTTCTTTTCTCATCTCTTCTCTGCTCTCCTTCAGCTTTCTGTCAATCATTTCCTTTTCCTCTGATTTTAACTTTATTTGTTGCTCCAAAGCTTCTGTTTTTCGTTCCCACTCCTGTCGTTGAATTTCTTCCTGTTGTTTTCTCTTCATGTCTTCTTCTTCTTCTCTTACTTCCTGTTCTTTCTTTCTCTCCTCATGTTCCTTCTTTATCTTCTCCTCCTTTTCTTTAAGTTGTTTTTCTCTCATTTCTCTTTCCTTTTCAGTTTCTGCTCTCTGCTCTTCCATTCTTCTTTCCATCTCTTCCATTTCCTCCTCATGTTTTCTTTGAAGCTCCTCCCTCTCTCTCTTCATCTCTTCTTCCTTCTCCTTCAGGATTCTCTCCATTTCTTTCTTTATAGCTGCCTCGGCCTCTTGCAGCATCTCATTGGTGTAGCAGCTGCCTCCATTTTCCTTCACCATGCTGTCAATCTTGGTTATCAGCTCACTGACTTGTGTGCGGTTTTCTTCATCATAGTTATTAAACACATGGTATCTTCCTCCACAGTCAGAGATCAGCTTCTTAAAGGAATCATCACAGTCCTGTTCAATGTATTCTTCAATGGAAACTTTATCCTGCTTTAGTTTATCTCCTCCAGTTAAAAGAATGATGGTGAACTTTTCAGCATTCTTCCCAAAGCCTTCCTTGATGAGTTTTAATGTCTCCTTCTCCTCTGGTCTGCCGATCTGTAACACCAACAGGAAGACATGTGGTCCTGGAGCCAGAAGACTGATGCATTTCACCATCTCCTCATAAACCTCTTCATGGGACAAAGTTGTGTCAAACAGACCAGGAGTGTCGACCACAACGACCGGACGACCGTCCACTGTACTCTGTGCTTTCTGACAATGTTTGGTGACTGATGTTTGACTTGATTTGGCTTTAAACTCTTTTCTTCCTAGAATGGTGTTTCCTGTAGAGCTCTTTCCACTTCCAGTCTTTCCTAGCTGCATAATCCTGAGACTCTCTGGTCTCTGCTCCTCATCATCACCTGTGAAATAAGATGAACAGGAGTTACTTTACTAATATTCTCAGCAGCTACTGTGAAGGTTCAAGACTGTGATGATCAACATGGTTCAGGACACAGAAAAAACATTTTAATTCAAAGTACTTACAAGTGATCTTGTTCTTCTTCATCAGTCTCTCAAGTTGTATGACTTTTTCCATTTGTGCATGTGCAAATGTTACAGCTGTATAGCAGGATGGTTTATTTTCAGATTGTCTCATCTTGTCCACCATGTCCAGCAGCTCTGGGATCTGCTGCTTGTCCTTGATGTTGAGAACAACATCTCTTCCTCCACAGCTCTGACGGAGCTCCTGGATGTCCTTGTTTTCCTTTAGAAAGTTAACAACAGCTGGAGCTGCAGGATCTGACTCCACAGTGAACAGAATCATGGTGAAGTCATCGACTCGAGAGCTGAATGTATTCTGGATGGTCTTTAACTCTCTCTTGTCTTCATCAGTGAGGGGACCCACAGGTAGGACCAGGATGAAGACATGGACGCCCTCAGGTTCACAGAGGGAGATACACCTGAGTGATTCCTCCATCACTGCCTCCTGAGGTTTTCCATACAAGGCAGGCAGCTCCACCAGGGAAACCCAACGTCCACACACCTCTCTCTGATGTTTAACACACTCTGATGAGACGGAGACTGAATGAAACTCTGTCTGACCTAAAATGGCCTTGGCTGCTGAAGTCTTAGCTGCTCCTCTCCTCCCACACAGAACCAGGTTTAAAGCTGGTTTGATATGTTCAGACTTTGGTCTGATGGTCTCTTCAGTGAAGGTGAGGAAGGTTCCTTTGTTTTTAAGAACAATGTTCTTAATCTTCTCCATTAACAATGTGTGGTCATTTGCAAACATGCTGTGTTGCTTTTTTCCACATTCTTCAATGAGTTGATTAACAGAGCCATTTTGTTCACAGTATTTGTCATTCATGATGACCATTGAGTGTTTAAAAGCATCTTGACCAAACAAACTCAGGATGAACTTCAGTGTTTGTCTGTTCTCCTCAGTGAACTTTGAAACCTTCACTAACAGCAGCAGAACATTTGGTCCAGGAGGACAAAGATTGATGTACTTCCTCATCTCTTCTCTCACTGTCTCCACAGACAGACTGAAGATGTTTGGAGCTTTCACTACTGTTAATGATTTTCCTCTCCACTCTCCAGAAATGCAATGCTTATTCTGGGACTGTTTTTGAACTTGAAATTCTGGATCCTTTTGCATAAAATTACCAAGTTTTGTCTTATCGTTGTCACTCTTCCCCAGCAGCATAATTCTAATCGCAGAGGCTGCAATATAACAGAAAGATAAAGCATTATAATAAAGATCATAGCAAAGATATATGTTGATTCACTATTTTACAAACTGACAGAAATAAACCAAATCTAAAGATACCATCAATGTATGATGATCTCTTTTATAACTACAATATTTGTTCTTTCAACAAAGGGTTCATGTGTCAAGCTATGTTTAACTCTAGTTGATTGGATAAGCAGAATTACACGTTTCAGACATTGTCATCGTTTTACAGTTTTCAACATTTTCTTTTAAAGGCTGATAATTTTGCTAATATATGTTGTATGAATGAATAATTTCCTCACGTTGTTTGATTGTGCTTTCTGCTGGTGATGAACTCGATGAAGTGCTTTGTGTGGACACTGTAAAAAAAAAAAAAAGAACCATCAGTGTCAAATGTCAGAATCATCTTATAGATGTTTTTGTTTTTGCAGTGTACCACACCGTATCACAATCTAAAACTATATTTAAACTTCAAAGCTCCATGTTACAAATGGCCTCTAATGGTAAAGGCATTGCTCTATATTCAGTTAATTTACTATATATTGTGCACTATTTGCCCAATAGTGGCGTAACCCATTGCAACATGGGATGTGAGGGGAGGGGAAAGTTCCCAGGGAACTCCATATGCTTTCAAGGCTGACCTTAGCTGAAAGTATACAAAAAAGGAAGATGCAGGAAGAGAAAACTGTGTTCTTAAGTCCTGGATGAAACGAAGACCTCACCATGCCATGTCACCATACCGTCAACATATTTATTCCCAGAGATGACCGAGAAGGTTTAATAAATGGCCGGCTACCAAATAATATATTCTGATTATGCCTTAGTGGTGTGTCCTGACCAAATCTAATTGGCCACCCATCCAACATTCACCCTCCTCCACACCCATATAGAGCTCGCAATGATGAATTAATTGTATGAGTTCTTATAATAGAGAACAGAATGTCTTGCAGTCTGTATGGTACTAACTTAGCAGATTCAATATTTTTCCATGCCGTTGTAGACCCTGAGGTAACCCATCAGCTGAACTGCCTGATTTGAAATTCAAAGCGTGGTACCGCCTGACCACCCAACAGTTTCGGTCGCTGGAGTGTAGTCAAGTGAATCCTGGGCCGTCTCCCATCCAGAATGAAATTGGAAGCTATGGAATGAACGTCTTATTGTTTAATTTGCAGGGGGGCAGAGCAACAGCAAAAAGAATGTTGAGATGTGGTAATACATTAATTTTAACTGTATTATTTCTACCTTTAAGAGATGTCTTTAGGCTCCTTTGAATGTCTTACTTTATCTTGTTTAGCATAGCGTTGAAGTTGTCGGCTTATTTTATATAAAGTAATAATGAATAATGTACATCTACATTATTCATGTACACTTAAAGATTGCATTGTGATTAAGTATACTGACCTGAATCTGGAGCACTCAAGAGGATCATTTTACTTTTTCAAAAACAACTGTTAGTAACTGTGAGTACTGTTTTTTGGTTGTCCCGTTCTCAATTGCAAATTTAAAAGAGTTAACAAGGGGTTCTTGTCTCATGCAACAAAAAGCACCAGCGTGAACACTGTGGCCTAGTTGTATTGTCATTCATTCATACTACCCTCTTAATAGTTCCCCTGCTACTCCTGTGAGAGGTTTGCTTTCACACCTAACATGTTTGATTCGGTTAAAACAAACCTTGGTGCAGTTGTGAAAGCAAACAAACCAACCACAAAATTTTTAAAATAGCAGATGTAAGGGTGGGTTTGCCAGGGAAAAGGCGATTGGACCCAAATGCAGATGTAATAGAAGCCAGCATGGCTGGTCAGTGAGTAAACCTCACTCCCCAACACCTTAATGGTATGTTCACACTGAAAGCGAATCCAGCGTTTTGCGCGGCTTGATTACATACAAAGTCAATGCAAAGATGTGAATTCATGCAAATTCGCTCAATGCAAATTGTCATTGACCAGACTCTGATATCGATCTGGAGTTGGTCCCTGGGTACTGGACAGTGTTGGCCACTGCTCCCTTGAGGGATGTGTCTTCAGCATCGATTTGAAATGCCTTTTTAATATAATCATAATCTTTATTTTCAGAGACAACCAAATACACAATAAAAACAAGAGAACACTTTAACATTAACACATTAACACTAAAATACACGTTAGAAGTAAAGACAAAATAAATCTAAAATTGAATAAAATAAAATCAACTAAAATCAGGAATTTCCAGGAAAGACAATTATGTTTTAAGAAGGGACTTAAAAGAGCTCACCGACTCGGCTTGGTTAAAAGCCTGGCAGCTGAGTTCTGGAGTCGATCAATAGATTTTTGGCATGTAAAAAGACTGTTTCAGTAATCCAGACATGATGATAAAGGCACGTAAAATGGTCTCAGTGTCCTCAAAAGTTAACATCAATCGTATTCTTTAATATATTTCTAAGCTGGTAAAAACATGATTGCACAAGCTTTGTGGTGTGCTGCTCGAAACCTAAATTACAGTCGAACCAGACACCAAGATGCTTTGCAACAGGCCTGATATGATTCACCAGGGAACCGGCAGATGGCAGTATTTGCTTTGCCATTTGCTGGGACCCAATGACCAGGACCTCTGTTTTGTTTGAGTTCAGCTAGAGGAAATTGTTTGACATCAAAGAGGCAGTAAGTGAACTCAGCATCCCAGGGTCTGTGGATCTGAAGGGCAAGTACATGAAAAGAGACACCATGTTTCTCAATAATGTGTCCAAGGGCAAGCAAATATGTCGTTAATGTTGTGACAGCGGATGTGTTACATTGAATGCCCAGGGCGTCTCATACAGACATTGAAGGGTACTATGTGCGTCAAATACGACGCTTTGTCAGGCTTTCTCAAAGTGTCTGTATTTGATGCCCTGGGATGAGACCGAGGTGGTATGTCTGTGTCTGTTAGCTTGTTATGGAGTTCTTCTGCTCTCTATTGGCTAGAAAGCAATTAATAAAGATTAAACTTCTATCAAAAAAATTAAAGGAGAAGTCAGTAATTTCTTTTGTCGATTTAAAAAAAAAAAAGGCCTAGTTGTACAGTGATAGTTGTACAGAGTCAGGAAATGCCAACACATCCTCATACCTAAACAACAAAACAGGTTGATTGTCAATTGTCCCATAACAACATATATGACCTTTGACTAGTGCCAGTCCAGCGACAGGCATACGTCAGTCAGTTGACATTAAACACGTGGTTAACGTTGTGAAACAGTCACAGTTTGGTTAAGTTTAGGCCACAAAACTACTTGGTAAGGTTTAGGAAAAGATTGTGGTTTGAGTCTTGTGACATATGTCACCTACGTGGGTCTCCTGGGTTAAGTCCTGAGTTTGTCTGACCCATCCATCCACCTCATCAACCTTCTTATGGTCATTCTTTATACTACATTGCCTGACTTTTTTCTGAGCTCCCATCACATGGCCACTAGGGGTCACAGAATGTGCAGACTCCTGATCGTGAATTAACAATAAACAGCTAAAACAAAAAAAAGAAACCATTTACCTACGTAGCATGCTTAATCATAGTATCATAGAAAGGTGAAATGTGCCTGCTTATTACAATGGGTTCTACAGTAACACGGAGTGAGGAAAATCTCGCATGTTATCATGGTGTATGTTGTTGTTACTGTACCACAGACTGCTTTGTTGGCTAATAAATATAGCTTAAAGAGTATTAAGCTTATGGTATGATCATTTGACACATAGCGCTTGCTTTTTGTGCTTCTACTAGTCAACAAAATCTAAACATGTCAGCAAAATCAGGCAGGCAAAATGGTTTCTGTGGGATATGCAGCCATGAGCAGCCAGAGTCAGTGGTAAAGTAGTGAATACTTACTTGTGTCAGTGTTGCTCGACTCTCTCCTCTAATCTCTAAGGAGTTCTGCTGAAGTCAAAGACTCTGTGCCACCAACTGTCCTGTAACATGTCAACATCATCATCAGGATACAGTTTAAAGTTCAGTTACAGCTGGCTGTTAAACAGTTTTTGGTAAAAAAGACACAATACAAAGATAGAATAACAATGTTAACAATAATATTAAATTGGGCATATAGTACTTATTGCTGCTCTTACTAGTATGTATTGTCAGTTTTTGATCTGTATTAGATGCTCTGTTGATGCTTGTAAGTTGTTCCTCAAATGTCGCTTTGTTAGTTTCAAATGTTAGTCGCTTGGGATAAATGAGTAAATGTAAATTGGGTAGGACTTTCTGTTTGAGCACATTGTCAACAGTGCTTTGAATAGTCGGAAGACCAGAAATGCGCTACACACAGCATTTACATCAATATAAATATCTATAAATACAGAAAATGTACAAGTATACAAAATAATACAGACGTTCATCAGCTCCATATGGTGTAAGAGTTCTGTGTATCACAGCAGAAAACTGAGTTAACAAACCAAACAGAGTGCACCAAAACACTGTGGTTGCCCTGAGCGGTGCCATTGACTTTTAGTTATATTTAGTGAAATTCTGTTTACATCCCAACATACATCCCAAATTATTTTTTCAGGTGAAAACAAATTTTTTTTTTATAGCAAACATACTGAACTTTCTAAGGCTCTGGGGGTAGTGATTACTGAGCATGCTTTAGATAACTGGCAAACTTTGAAGGTAAAGAAGGGACCACAGTAAAATATTCTTAAATTGAAAATATAAAATAGTGCATAGGCTGAGAAAATGTGTGCATTTCTTTTAATGTAACATTTTCAGTTTGTCGTTCAGCTTCAGTGTGTCTCAGTTAAACTGGGTAAACAGGAAGTCTGGGTTAGATTCCCAGTCAGGACATGCGCTAACCACACAGAGACCTGTGAGAAGAGCAGCGATAAGAAAAAGATAAAGTTTCGAAAATTGTGGTTCTTAGTAGCAGTAGAGCTGCGTTGTGAAATATAAAAACACATGCCGTGTGTTTCATAGGCTGATTTGAAGTTCCTTATATTTAAATTTGACTTGTGTTAGGCAAAGAAACCTAAGAAGAAAACAGAAGGAAATTAAAGCTGCAAGTAACGCCTTGAGATTTGAGGTGGCTGTGAATTTGCCATGGGCTTTGGACGTTGCACAAACATGTTAATCATCACTTCCTGTGTCCCCTTTGTGGCGCTACATAGCACTTTGCACTACGACTATAACATGTAGATGTGTTCGGGGCGGGACAGTTATCAAGCACGTAAAGGTGCAGATGTGAGCATGTACACTGAAGTTACAACAACTTCCTCTTTCATGGCGAATCATCGATTTTGCACGCCACGGGCACGCTGTTTCACGAAAACTCACTGTTTAATTGTCAATGGATTTAGAGTAGACGGGGAAAATCTGACGTCGGTCAGACTAGTTCTCTAGGAGGAGTTCATAAAAGTACTGAGTGTGTAAATCATTCAAAAATTACCATAAAATTCAAAATGGCTGACTTCCTGTTGGGTTTAGAGCATCACTCCAAGAGGCTTTTTGATAGGCCTACGTCTCAACATGATACATGGGCCACAGGAATTTCATACACATATAATACAAAATTTAAGTATTTCTATATAAAATATATTTTTAAAATATGATCCTAACAGAACATGTAAAAACTACAAAGAACAGTTTATTACAGACCCACTGAATGAAATAAGGTGTGACAATCTAAAGGACTTGTGGTTGGTATCTTCTAGGCTGCTTTCTACAATTTAACATCTATTGAATTAAAAATAATTTTAAAACTCTGTTTATATGGGCACTTTGTTGGGCAGTTTGTTACATCATTTATTTTAATAAATAAACTTAAATTATGTAAATTATGTTTAAATATAAAGTTTTGTGTTCTCCTTCAACATATTTTGCAGGGAATTAAAATGGCATCAGTATTGAAGCAGCTTCAGTGAGTCTCAAGTGATCACAAACAGACTCAGATCAGTGCTGGCCAGACACGTTTTCAACCACATATACACATGTCACAACATTATTACAATGGGTTCTACAGTAATACGGAGTGAGGAAAATCTCGCATGTTATCATGGTACATGTTGTTGTTACTGTACCACAGACTGCTTTGTTGGCTAATAAATATAGCTTAAAGAGTATTAAGCTTCCGGTATGGTCATTTGACACATAGCGCTTGCTTTTTGTGCTTCTACTAGTCAACAAAATCTAAACATGTCAGCAAAATCAGGCAGGCAAAATGGTTTCTGTGGGATATGCAGCCATGAGCAGCCAGAGTCAGTGGTAAAGTAGTGAATACTTACTTGTGTCAGTGTTGCTCGACTCTCTCCTCTAATCTCTAAGGAGTTCTGCTGAAGTCAAAGACTCTGTGCCACCAACTGTCCTGTAACATGTCAACATCATCATCAGGATACAGTTTAAAGTTCAGTTACAGCTGGCTGTTAAACAGTTTTTGGTAAAAAAGACACAATACAAAGATAGAATGACAATGTTAACAATAATATTAAATTGGGCATATAGTACTTATTGCTGCTCTTACTAGTATGTATTGTCAGTTTTTGATCTGTATTAGATGCTCTGTTGATGCTTGTAAGTTGTTCCTCAAATGTCGCTTTGTTAGTTTCAAATGTTAGTCGCTTGGGATAAATGAGTAAATGTAAATTGGGTAGGACTTTCTGTTTGAGCACATTGTCAACAGTGCTTTGAATAGTCGGAAGACCAGAAATGCGCTACACAGAGCTTTTACATCAATATAAATATCTATAAATACAGAAAATGTACAAGTATACAAAATAATACAGACGTTCATCAGCTCCATATGGTGTAAGAGTTCTGTGTATCACAGCAGAAAACTGAGTTAACAAACCAAACAGAGTGCACCAAAACACTGTGGTTGCCCTGAGTGGTGCCATTGACTTTTAGTTATATTTAGTGAAATTCTGTTTACATCCCAACATACATCCCAAATTATTTTTTCAGGTGAAAACAAATTTTTTTTTTATAGCAAACATACTGAACTTTCTAAGGCTCTGGGGGTAGTGATTACTGAGCATGCTTTAGATAACTGGCAAACTTTGAAGGTAAAGAAGGGACCACAGTAAAATATTCTTAAATTGAAAATATAAAATAGTGCATAGGCTGAGAAAATGTGTGCATTTCTTTTAATGTAACATTTTCAGTTTGACGTTCAGCTTCAGTGTGTCTCAGTTAAACTGGGTAAACAGGAAGTCTGGGTTAGATTCCCAGTCAGGACATGCGCTAACCACACAGAGACCTGTGAGAAGAGCAGCGATAAGAAAAAGATAAAGTTTCGAAAATTGTGGTTCTTAGTAGCAGTAGAGCTGCGTTGTGAAATATAAAAACACATGCCGTGTGTTTCATAGGCTGATTTGAAGTTCCTTATATTTAAATTTGACTTGTGTTAGGCAAAGAAACCTAAGAAGAAAACAGAAGGAAATTAAAGCTGCAAGTAACGCCTTGAGATTTGAGGTGGCTGTGAATTTGCCATGGGCTTTGGACGTTGCACAAACATGTTAATCATCACTTCCTGTGTCCCCTTTGTGGCGCTACATAGCACTTTGCACTACGACTATAACATGTAGATGTGTTCGGGGCGGGACAGTTATCAAGCACGTAAAGGTGCAGATGTGAGCATGTACACTGAAGTTACAACAACTTCCTCTTTCATGGCGAATCATCGATTTTGCACGCCACGGGCACGCTGTTTCACGAAAACTCACTGTTTAATTGTCAATGGATTTAGAGTAGACGGGGAAAATCTGACGTCGGTCAGACTAGTTCTCTAGGAGGAGTTCATAAAAGTACTGAGTGTGTAAATCATTCAAAAATTACCATAAAATTCAAAATGGCTGACTTCCTGTTGGGTTTAGAGCATCACTCCAAGAGGCTTTTTGATAGGCCTACGTCTCAACATGATACATGGGCCACAGGAATTTCATACACATATAATACAAAATTTAAGTATTTCTATATAAAATATATTTTTAAAATATGATCCTAACAGAACATGTAAAAACTACAAAGAACAGTTTATTACAGACCCACTGAATGAAATAAGGTGTGACAATCTAAAGGACTTGTGGTTGGTATCTTCTAGGCTGCTTTCTACAATTTAACATCTATTGAATTAAAAAATAATTTTAAAACTCTGTTTATATGGGCACTTTGTTGGGCAGTTTGTTACATCATTTATTTTAATAAATAAACTTAAATTATGTAAATTATGTTTAAATATAAAGTTTTTGTGTTCTCCTTCAACATATTTTGCAGGGAATTAAAATGGCATCAGTATTGAAGCAGCTTCAGTGAGTCTCAAGTGATCACAAACAGACTCAGATCAGTGCTGGCCAGACACCTTTTCAACCACATATACACATGTCCCATCATTATTACAATGGGTTCTACAGTAACACGGAGTGAGGAAAATCTCGCATGTTATCATGGTGTATGTTGTTGTTACTGTACCACAGACTGCTTTGTTGGCTAATAAATATAGCTTAAAGAGTATTAAGCTTCCGGTATGATCATTTGACACATAGCGCTTGCTTTTTGTGCTTCTACTAGTCAACAAAATCTAAACATGTCAGCAAAATCAGGCAGGCAAAATGCAAAATGGTTTCTGTGGGATATGCAGCCATGAGCAGCCAGAGTCAGTGGTAAAGTAGTGAATACTTACTTGTGTCAGTGTTGCTCGACTCTCTCCTCTAATCTCTAAGGAGTTCTGCTGAAGTCAAAGACTCTGTGCCACCAACTGTCCTGTAACATGTCAACATCATCATCAGGATACAGTTTAAAGTTCAGTTACAGCTGGCTGTTAAACAGTTTTTGGTAAAAAAGACACAATACAAAGATAGAATAACAATGTTAACAATAATATTAAATTGGGCATATAGTACTTATTGCTGCTCTTACTAGTATGTATTGTCAGTTTTAGATCTGTATTAGATGCTCTGTTGATGCTTGTAAGTTGTTCCTCAAATGTCGCTTTGTTAGTTTCAAATGTTAGTCGCTTGGGATAAATGAGTAAATGTAAATTGGGTAGGACTTTCTGTTTGAGCACATTGTCAACAGTGCTTTGAATAGTCGGAAGACCAGAAATGCGCTACACACAGCATTTACATCAATATAAATATCTATAAATACAGAAAATGTACAAGTATACAAAATAATACACACGTTCATCAGCTCCATATGGTGAAAGACTTCTGTGTATCACAGCAGAAAACTGAGTTAACAAACCAAACAGAGTGCACCAAAACACTGTGGTTGCCCTGAGCGGTGCCATTGACTTTTAGTTATATTTAGTGAAATTCTGTTTACATCCCAACATACATCCCAAATTATTTTTTCAGGTGAAAACAAATTTTTTTTTTATAGCAAACATACTGAACTTTCTAAGGCTCTGGGGGTAGTGATTACTGAGCATGCTTTAGATAACTGGCAAACTTTGAAGGTAAAGAAGGGACCACAGTAAAATATTCTTAAATTGAAAATATAAAATAGTGCATAGGCTGAGAAAATGTGTGCATTTCTTTTAATGTAACATTTTCAGTTTGATGTTCAGCTTCAGTGTGTCTCAGTTAAACTGGGTAAACAGGAAGTCTGGGTTAGATTCCCAGTCAGGACATGCGCTAACCACACAGAGACCTGTGAGAAGAGCAGCGATAAGAAAAAGATAAAGTTTCGAAAATTGTGGTTCTTAGTAGCAGTAGAGCTGCGTTGTGAAATATAAAAACACATGCCGTGTGTTTCATAGGCTGATTTGAAGTTCCTTATATTTAAATTTGACTTGTGTTAGGCAAAGAAACCTAAGAAGAAAACAGAAGGAAATTAAAGCTGCAAGTAACGCCTTGAGATTTGAGGTGGCTGTGAATTTGCCATGGGCTTTGGACGTTGCACAAACATGTTAATCATCACTTCCTGTGTCCCCTTTGTGGCGCTACATAGCACTTTGCACTACGACTATAACATGTAGATGTGTTCGGGGCGGGACAGTTATCAAGCACGTAAAGGTGCAGATGTGAGCATGTACACTGAAGTTACAACAACTTCCTCTTTCATGGCGAATCATCGATTTTGCACGCCACGGGCACGCTGTTTCACGAAAACTCACTGTTTAATTGTCAATGGATTTAGAGTAGACGGGGAAAATCTGACGTCGGTCAGACTAGTTCTCTAGGAGGAGTTCATAAAAGTACTGAGTGTGTAAATCATTCAAAAATTACCATAAAATTCTAAATGGCTGACTTCCTGTTGGGTTTAGAGCATCACTCCAAGAGGCTTTTTGATAGGCCTACGTCTCAACATGATACATGGGCCACAGGAATTTCAAACACATATAATACAAAATTTAAGTATTTCTATATAAATATATTTTTAAAATATGATCCTAACAGAACATGTAAAAACTACAAAGAACAGTTTATTACAGACCCACTGAATGAAATAAGGTGTGACAATCTAAAGGACTTGTGGTTGGTATCTTCTAGGCTGCTTTCTACAATTTAACATCTATTGAATTAAAAAATAATTTTAAAACTCTGTTTATATGGGCACTTTGTTGTGCAGTTTGTTACATCATTTATTTTAATAAATAAACTTAAATTATGTAAATTATGTTTAAATATAAAGTTTTTGTGTTCTCCTTCAACATATTTTGCAGGGAATTAAAATGGCATCAGTATTGAAGCAGCATGTCCCATCTAAATATTAACTGGTACTGAATGCCACAGAGTCATTTGTTCCTTTAAAAGTAGCTCATAACATTGAACAACAGTTTAATGTAGATTCCTGTCTGATTCTGTTCTTCTTTTGACTGCAGTTTAACGTACTGAAATATGAAAGAGTCACTTTGGTGCACATGTTGACAACAAATAAAGAGACTACAAAGAGATTTCTCACATTAAACACTGATTGAAACAAAACATCAGTTATTAATATTTGCATTGTAGAATTATTAAACAGTTATAATATAATTTTTTGTGCTTTTATCTTCAAGCCTGTCTGACCTGATGGTCTATCTCAACTCAACTCAATATTATTGCAAAATTTCATGCAAATAAGCAGCCCAACGTTCTTCACAGAGCTAGATTAAAATAACAACAGCTAAAAACGAAACCATAAAATTAGGCCAAAGCCAGAGATAAAAGGTAGATTATTCATTTCCGTTTAATTCTAATATCCTGTTCAACAGCTTAGGGGCAAAAAACTGGTACTTTTTTGGGACACATAAGGAATTAAAATAAAAGCGGTGGAGGACCGTAGTGATCTGTCTAGAACATAAAATGAAAATATATGTCTGATATCTCTGATGTAGGTAAATATAAAAGACACAGGCAGCCGGTGAAGAGTCTTAACCGGTAGTGAACAATTTTTTGTGTTTTATTTGCAGAATTCAAGTTTCAAGTTGAACTTTATTGTCATGCGTAGGCTCTCCCTGCCTTAACACAAGCAAACACACTCACACCCTCCCCCCGAAGAAGGACACACTATATGTATTAGGTACATAATCCACTCATGTATACATTAAACACAATATACAGTACATGATAAAATTACATATTTACAAAAATGTGAAGTGCATGTGGGTGAAGAGAGAGGATGCTTTAATTAGCTTGTTAAAAAGATAATTTAAATTTGAATCTGAGTCTGAAGTCACTGCCAAATTCGTGATAGTTGAAATGTGTTTGCCAAGATCATTATGCATTAAGCAGTTTTCTCTTGCTGATTTTCTAAAATTTGAAAATCTGTCTATTACTTATTCATTTAATGGTAAAGTAACGCTTCACAACAACCATTTCTGGACAGCCATGTGATGAAGAAAGACTGGTGTTAAAAAGATACCCTGGCAATGGATGAAATATCAACATCAATACTCCTAGTAATAAAACAGCATCAGCCAATCCATTGTCCTGTTCTATACAGACCACCTACAGAACATAAAAACACTTTATATATTCAGATTCTGGTTGAGTTGACTCACCAGGTGCAGTTGTTGCTGCGCCACCGGTCCGAGACAATAAAGTGAAAGTAACAGTTCACAAAAGAAGAGGAAGAGAGCGCTGTGTAGGAAGGAGCCCGGTGGGAGTGTATCAGGAAACTGCTGTTTGTGTCCTGTTGTGAAACTCCTCATGTTCAGTGAAGCATGGATATGGGATGCTAGCAGTAAAATGCTGCTCTAACAGTGATGCATTATTAACAATCTAATAATTTAAGATAGAATCAGATGTCAGTCACAGGGCATATTTTATTGCACAACTAATAGTGCAGTACTGTTATTTAAGCAGGACTGAATGCACAACTTTTACTTGTCATGGAGTATTTTTACATTGATATATTGGATCTGAGATCTTCTTCCACCACTGTCTGTTTAGAGGTTGTTTTTTCATTTAATTTGACGAAGCTGAAGTCTGACTTTTTGATCTAAAAATAAAATAAATGCTTTAAATGAAATTAAAGACGCAGGCAGCGTTGAACAGGACCTTGCCCTTCGTAGCAGTGACAGTTGTGGCCTTGGCACTGGAGGTTTGTTGACATGGCTCTGAATCTTCATCTGCATGAGATTTGAGGGCGGTCATTGCTCTCATCATATCACATATGAGTTCTCCCAACTCCGCTTTGGAGTTCCTTTGTGAATTAAATTTTATTTGCTGCCTAACAAATAGAAGTGCCTAAGCTGTCGGTCAGAGCTAGATCTACTGCATGATTTGCAATTGATGTTATTTGATATCCCAACTTTTATACAAGTAATGTTTATACTGGTTAAAAAACACAGTTTGATGTTAGCCTATTTTCTTTGCAGAGCAAGAGTTTTGTGCGAAAGGAATTAAAGGCCTGCCCAAATATAGGCATGGTGATTTCAGTGATTTAAGCAAGTAAAAGCCTTGGCTTTTAAATAAAGTTTTACAGCATATCATCATGTCTAACTTCTACTGCTGATTAAAGTGTAAAGCAAAAAAATCTAATCCATTAGTTAGATTTTCTTGACAGTTGTTGGCTCAGTGTCTTCTGTCGAATTCTTTTTCCCTCTTTGCATTTCAAAACCTGACTTGAACATATAAAACTTACTTCCAACAAAATCTGGGCACTGAGAATGTGGGAATAATATTCAGAGTCACAGGGTCCCAATTATTCTTTTTGAAATTAAATAAAATATTTGGGTAATATTACACCTGTCCAGGATGTAATATTTCTCCCGATGTCAGCTGGGATTGGCTCCAGCCCCCCGTGAGCCTGTACGCAGGATAAGCAGTTGACGATGGATTGATGGATGGTAGTTACTCATAAGAGTTAATGGTTAATATAAATCCTGTATTAACACTTTCATTTAATTGAACAATCATTTCACTAAAGAACCCAAGACACATGATCCAGCTCATAGACTATGACACAACTGGGAAAGACACAATGCCAGTAGTACAATGTGTTTATTATACCAGAAAAGAAACTGGTGGTTGTGTAAAAGTACAACAAAGAATTAAATAAAATCAAAAACAGAGAGAATGAGAGAGAGACATTCTGGAAAGTAGGGCTTTTATTTCCAGTGGACCCATTTGTTCTGGGTAGGCACTGCAATCAGCTTCTCGGACACAAAACCACATGGAAAGGTCAACGCTGGTAGATGCAGTACACACACACCCTCAGGCCACTCAGGGGCTGTCACACACTTCTTTGTAACTCACAAATGGGTTATTTTTGCCCCTTAAGATAGTCGGAGACATATTTAATAAGTATAATAATAATATTTTTTGTTTCAATGCTGCACCTTATCCCAATGTATAAACAAAAACTCCTAGGCAAAATCCAACACCGTGCTCCAGATGCCATTGAAACTCTGAGAGACTGCTTAGAATGCACCGTTTGGGAATCTTTGATTACATAAACACAGTGACAATATAGATCCAGTTTTGTGTGGACCAATGCATTTCATTTACTCATTTACTTGACAGAAAATCCTGGTTCTAGCGTGATCAATTCAAGGTCCATGAAGTTAATTATTCTGATGAGGAACAGCTGAACCAATCAACACACTGGATCAAACAGGAGTTATAAAACCATGAATTTATTAATTTAACAATTAAATACGAAACTAAAATAGTAATGATGAAACACCTAAGTGGACTCCACATGCAACAGTCCACTGATTAGTCCACTTCCAAAGTCCATACATTTCTGTGGTTCGTGGTTTCCCCGTCAAAAATTAGATAGCTGGGTGTTAAGCGGCCACAATAATACACTCAGTTAGGAAACAGAAGAACACAACACTGCAAACACAATGGCTTCCTACTCACATATGCATGCAAAATCATAAAGGAAATGATCCAAGCCAACTATATAGCCTTTAAAGGGGCTATCCGAAGTTTTTCAATGAAATCACTTATTAATAAAAACTTTTTTACTGCCTTATTGTCAATGGGCTGTAGCCTCGTTTAGAAATCAACCACACGCCTGTTTTCTCTGTTGCTTGCAACAGCCACTATTAGGGCTGCGCAATAATCTAATTGCAATCGCAATCACGATGTAGTCACATGTCACTACATAACCACAAGGAGTGTGCAATTTAATAAAACAGAAAAAGTGTGTGTGACACTGTCTTGTCTGTGTGCACTGTAGTCTGCTCATTATTCACGCTCACACCGGGCTCTTGCACGTGCCTCTAAAAACAGATAGGCCTACGTGCAATCAGAAAAATTATTCATGAGCAATCTGCCAAACTCCACAATAATCGCAATATGACTTTTTCTCTAAATTGTGCAGCCCTAGCCACTATTCTGCTTCTTATTTTAAGGTATCAGTTCGGGTTCTCTGCATGTACGCTCCCGAGCCTCTTGCCTACCACTGCGATGACAACACTGCAGCTAACGAAATGCAGTCCACTAACACCATAAAACGACACAAACTCCAACATAAACTAAAGATTCACATAAAGATAAAATAATAATAAAAGTTTTATGTGCTGAAACCCTTCAGGCCAAATGAGAACTTCAATGATCGACTTCAGGTGAAAATTCACTCAACATCAGAAAGGCACCTAAAGCTGTTTCCTTTGTAATTGTCGTTTTAGTACATCAGTCTAACAGTCATGTACAATGTCATGACTCAGTTTAGCTTAACTAATAGCTTATGCAATACATTTAACTGTGCTCACGATGCTTAACCTCTGATGAAGTTACTAAAAAGTGACAGGTGAGTTAATGCTGACATATCATGTCGGTTATGCTTTCACTGTAATATTGTTATATAACAAGAAAGTATTACATCTACCTCAAGCTAATAAAAATATGATTGTATAGTCGCAGCGGGAGTTTACCTGAGTTTTCAGCATGTGTGAAGCTGTCTCCCGGTGTTTTGCTTCCTGTGTGTTGGACAATGCTCCCTCAAGAGTTTGAGCATGCGTACGAGCACACAGTTGCAACCTAAAAACCACAACGCTGAAAACTAGGTAATTAACTGGAGGGAAGGTGGGACACATCTATACCCCTCCTAGTTCACCCAAAGTGTCCTCTCCCACGTGAAAGCTGAGGTCAGCATCTCCTTCCCTAACTTGGTTGGGTCACAATGTCAGGGTCCTCTCCAGCCTCTCATGCCATTTTCCTTGCCAAAAAGGCTGCCTTCTCTTTGGAGCACTTGGCATCTCGACAATAAGACTGGAACAACAACTCACTAGATCAGATTTCACAGCACAGTAGGGGAGAGCTTTGAGATTTGAGCCTGTGGGGAAGTTCAGCCACCCCTTGTTTCTAACCATCGACAAAATTGGTCAAGTGACCACTTATTTTTGAAGAGTCATCTATTTTACTTTCCCTGTGATGAAGAAAGGCCCATGGAATAAGTGTTAATCCCATTTAAGATAAAAAAAACAGTTTTTTTGCCGTTCAATGTGGGTTTTTTTATGTTCAAGGAGTCCTGACTCTTGTGTCTGAACAATTACCGACAGGTTTGAGAAATTCTTACGCATCTGTTAGTTCTTTAGGACGTTACAGTATGAGGCTATACTGTTAGCATGACGTTAAACTTCTGGATGACACAAGTTAAAATGGCAGGGATGGGGTATTTTGAGCCAAAAGACCTGGGGGAAGTTGGGCCAACAATTTTACTGTAATTTTACCGAAATGATGTGACATTATAGACCTGAAACCATCATCTCATGCTTCTATAAATGGAAGAAAGTCAACTCGTCTTGTGGATTTGGAGAGAGTAGTGGGTCCAAAAATGGGAAGTCCAATTATCAGGTGGCACGGGACATGACGATAAACAGGATGACTTTAAAGCGATACATTGATATGAAACAACTAGGAGACATAGCAATGTTTCACGATCTTAGTGCAATTGAGTATTTGGGACCTGTTTGAGTTTGCACAATGAAATGACATTGATGTCACCGACGCCCATGTGGCTCAACGTTTCCTCTCTCTTGGCTCAACTTACCCCTCATATGGGGCAAGTTGAGCCAAGAGTCCACTTTTTTTGGAAAGCCATATTTTGAAAACAGTTTCTTAAAGATTCAATTTGATTATTCCCAGGGATGGACCACATCCTAAAATATCTGTTCATATTTTAGTGGGACTTTACTGTCATGTCCTTACTTTAAAGACACCTTTTTTTCTCTTTTTCCTCTTGTTCTCTTCTGATTCTGTCCTCTTCCTTTCTTTTCTTCTCATCATTTTCTCTTTCCTGTTCATATTCTTCTTGAAGCTTTCTAAGTCTTGTTTGTTCCTCTTGTCGTCTCTTTTCATCTTCTTGATATTGGTTTTCCCACCATTCATTTAGTTTTTTCTTTAACTTCTCTCGTTCTTTTCTCATCTCTACTCTGCTCTCCTTCAGCTTTCTGTCAGTGGTTTCCTTTGATTCTGACTCTGATCTTACATTTTTCTGCAAAGGTTCAACCTTTCGTTTCCACTCCTGTCGTTTAATTTCTTCCAGTTGTTTTCTCTCTTGACTTCTTCTTCTCTCATTTCCTGTTCTTTCTTTCTCTCCTCACGTTCCTTCTTTATGTTCTCCTCTTTTTCTCTAAGTTGTTTTACTTTCAGTTCCATTTCCTTTTCAGTTTCTGCTCTCTGTTCTTCCATTCTTCTTTTCATCTCTTGCATTTCCTCCTCATGTTTTCTTTGAAGCTCCTCCCTCTCTCTCTTCATCTCTTCTTCCTTCTCCTTCAGGATTCTCTCCATTTCTTTCTTTATAGCTGCCTCGGCCTCTTGCAGCGTCTCATTGGTGTAGCAGCTGCCTCCATTTTCCTTCACCATGGTGTCAATCTTGGTTATCAGCTCACTGACTTGTGTGCGGTTTTGTTCATCATAGTTATCAAACACATGGTATCTTCCTCCACAGTCAGAGATCAGATTCTTAAAGGAATCATCACAGTCCTGTTCAATGTATTCTTCAATGGACACTTTCTCACGCTTTAGTTTATCTCCTCCAGTTAAAAGAATGATGGTGAAGGTTTCAGCATTCTTCCCAAAGCCTTCCTTGATGAGTTTTAATGTCTCCTTCTCCTCTGGTGTAAATCTGCCGATCTGTAACACCAACAGGAAGACATGTGGTCCTGGAGCCAGAAGACTGATGCATTTCACCATCTCCTCATGAACCTCTTCATGGGACAAAGTTGTGTCAAACAGACCAGGAGTGTCGACCACAACGACCGGACGACCGTCCACTTCACTCTGTGCTTTCTGACAATGTTTGGTGACTGAAGTTTGACTTGATTTGGCTTTAAACTCCTTTCTTCCTAGAATGGTGTTTCCTGTAGAGCTCTTTCCACAGCCAGTCTTTCCTAGCTGCATAATCCTGAGACTCTCTGGTCTCTGCTCCTCACCTGTGAAATAAGAAGACCTGGAGTTTAAATAATCTCAGAAACCACAGTGAAGGCTCTACACTGTGATGTACAACACAGTTCAGGACTCAGAAAACACATTTCAATCAAATACTTACAAGTGATCATGTTCTTCTTCATCAGCCTCTCAAGTTCACCTTGTTGCCTGTTGATATGTTTCTCTTGTTGTATGAGCTTTTCTATTTGTGCATGTGCAAATGTTACAGCTGTATAGCAGGATTGATTAACTTTAGACTGGCTATTTTCTTCCACCATGTCCAGCAGCTCTGGGATCTGCTGCTCGTCCTTGATGTTGAGAACAACATATCTTCCTCCACAGCTCTGACGGAGCTCCTGGATGTCCTTGTTTTCCTTCAGAAAGTTAACAACAGCTGGAGCTGCAGGATCTGACTCCACAGTGAACAGAATCATGGTGAAGTCATCGACTCGAGAGCTGAATGTGTTCTGGATGGTCTTTAACTCTCCCTTGTCTTCATCAGTGAGGGGACCCACAGGTAGGACCAGGATGAAGGCATGGACGCCCTCAGGTTCACAGAGGGAGATACACCTGAGTGATTCCTCCATCACTGCCTCCTGAGGTTTTCCATACAAGGCAGGCAGCTCCACCAGGGAAACCCAACGTCCACACACCTCTCCCTGATGTTTAACACACTCTGATGAGTCGGAGACTGAATGAAACTCTGTCTGACCTAAAAAGGCCTTGGCTGCTGAAGTCTTCCCTGCTCCTCTCCTCCCACACAGAACCAGGTTTAAAGCTGGTTTGATGTGTTCACACATTGGTCTGATGGTCTCTTCAGTGAAGGTGAGGAAGGTTCCTCTGTTTTCATGCACAATGTTCTCAATCTTGTGCATTAATAACAAATTGCCTTCTTCTACCATCCTGTAGTGTCTTCCTCCACAGTCTTGAAGCAGCTGACTGACAGAGACACTTGTTCCATCATGTGTGCTGATGACCATTGAGTGTTTAAAAGCATCTTGACCAAACAAACTCAGGATGAACTTCAGTGTTTGTCTGTTCTTCTCAGTGAAATCAGAAGGCTTCACTAACAGCAGCAGAACATTTGGTCCAGGAGGACAAAGACTGATGCACCTTCTCATCTCTTCTCTCACTGTCTCATCAGTCAGACTGAAGATGTTTGGAGTTTTCACCACTGTAAATGATTTTCCTCTCCACTCTCCACAGACAGCCATACTTTGCTTGCTATGGGACTGTTTTTGGAATTTACCTATTATAAAGATACCAAGTTTTGTTTTATCCTCCTCACTCTTCCCCAACAGCACAATTCTCAGTGTAGATGCTGTAATATAACAGAAACATAATGAATTAATGTCTAAGATTGTAGCAAGCTTAGATGTCGATTCAGTCGTTACAGCAATACACCAAATATAAAGATAAAACCACTGTGTGTCGATCTCCTTCATTCATCTTTCTGTATATTTATAAATTAATATTAATAAGTCCAGTAGAATGGACATTTTCTAAAGAAAATGTGTGTCAGAGCTGCCGTCTGTTAGCTGTGGCTGCTGCCAGTGCTGCTGCAAAGTTCTGCACCATCAGCAATTTTATAAATTCTGCAGGTAAAATAATAATATATGATAATCATATGTCACACTCAGTTGTTGGATCTGCCTAGGTTTGCTGCATTTGATTAACATGCCCTGAATAGGATTTAAACTCTCATCCTGGGGATCGGAAAGACAAGATCTTAACCATCAGGCTACTCAGATACACTGTTAAAGAAATGTTTTTAACTTTCTTGTTTGATCAGATGTGTTTAATTGACATGAATTGCTACCAATGCACCAATAGAGAGCAATTGATGACCACAAATGGCAGGGACAACTCTGTTATATTGTATATATCTGTGACATCTAGTCCACTGTTTGAGAATAAAATAAACAAACAATATACACAGAAATAACCACTGCAGTCAGTAGGAATTGAACATTGATTTGGGCATCAAGTTCAAAAACCATATAAATACCAATTAATGATGTCGTCTGATGTGGGAATCGAACCCACGTCTGACACAATAAAGCAAATGTCGCCCGAGTCAACAACATCCATGTCAGGTGTGAGGCACCAGGGCAGCCTGATGAGAAATGGGGATACTGGAACAAGACAATCATGGACTAGAGCAGAAAATATGGATCTGTTGCAATGCTACTAAAGAAGTAATCCCGGTGAGAGGGGTTATATGCAGAGACTGTGTGATACATGGATGCTTTGAAACCCATCATCGACATTGACAAAGAAACAACTACTAGGTCAGTGTTCTAACATCCACAAGAGGCATCTGCAATGACAACTAGAGATTGATGAGGTACATGCTACGGCAATGGGGGATCCAGGACAACAGGTCAGTGGGGAGATGTCTTCATCATCCCCAAACTCAGAGAATGGGTCCCTTACGGCACAGAATCACTTAACACAAGGGTGACTGACCTGCGATAGAAGATCATAACCAAGCTGGACCCCAAGTACAACGACCAAGATTGCTAAGGTCAAGTGACAAAGTACCATCTGAAAGTCTGCTAGAACTACATTAGATACACTACATACTATCTACAGTGATCCTGGTGATGCTTGGCTATAAGATGAACACCATAAGCCACGAAGAGCATTATCCTGCATGGAGGAGAAGGCTAGAGGCCTAAATTAGTCAGTTCCCAGAGCTAAAGAAACGTGCAAGGAAGGGGCTGCCCATGAAATACAGCAAGCTGTCGATACCTGAGGCACTGGAGACTGCCAAAGAAAGACATATTGCTACGACTACCCATCTAAAGAGATACAAGTGAGAAGCAGAAGCCAGGGGAATAAACCGGAGGTTCTACACTGAATCATCAAAAGGGACTCTCAGTGGCAGGGTAATAACAAAAATTCCACCCAGGGCTGAGACTGAACAGTACTGGAAGATCAAATGGGAGAAGGGGGCATCGCACAACTCCAATCTACCAGTGGTTATGTATCTAAGAACCGGTCACAGCGATCTCCCAGACAAGATCCAGTAACCATTACAATGGCAAACATCCAAAAAAGAGTGTTGGGTATGAAGAGCTGGACAGCACCAGGCCCTGACATAATCCACACTTACTTGCTGCATAAACTAACTGCACTCCATTAAGGTCATGCAGCACAAATGAACCAACTGCTGATGGATGGGACCCACCCAGAATGGTTAACCCAAGGATGGACAGTCCTGATCATGAAGGATCCCCAGAAGGGAACATTCCCATCCAACTATCAGCCAATAACCTGCCTCTGCACAACATGGAAGCTCCTCTCAGGCATCATAGCGGCTAAGATGAGTAGGCACATGGCCCAATACATGGACAGGGTCCAGAAGGGAATTTGCAGTAATACCAGGGGAGCCAAGCACCAGCTACTGCTCGATAGAACCGTCACTTGAGACTGCAAGACCGGGCAGACCAACCTGTGCACTGCCTGGATTGACTACAAGTACGCCTCCAACTCAATGCCACATACACTATAATGACAAAAGGTTTAGGACACCACCCCGAATAATTGAATTCATGTGTTCCAATCACTTCCATGGACACAGGTGTATAAAACCAAGCACTTAGGCATGCAGACTGCTTCTACAAATATTTGTGAAAGAAGAGGTCGCTCTCAGTAGCTTGTGAATTCAAGTGTTGTATCGTGATAGGTTGCCACTTATGCAATAAGTCCATTCCTAAAATTTCCTCACTACTATTATTATTAGTAGTATAACAAAGTGGAAGCGATTGGGAACAACAGAAACTTAAGTGGTAGGCCACATAAAATCACAGAGCGGGGTCAGCACATGCTAAGGTGCAAAGTGCGCAGAAGTCACCAACTTTCAGTCAATATCTACAGACCTTTAAACGTCGTGTTACCTTCGGACACTAGAGCAGTGGAGATGTGTTCTCTGAAGTGATGAATCACGCTTCTCTGTCTGGCAATAAGATGGACGAGTCTGGGTTTGGCGGTTGCTAGGAGAACAGTACTTTCCATACTGCATTGTACCAAGTGTGAAATTTGGTGGAGGGAGGATTATGATTTGGGGTTGTTTTTCAGCGGTTGGGCTTGGCCCCTTAGTTCCAGTGAAAGGAACTGTTAATGCTTCAGCATACCAAGACATTTTGGACAATTTCATGATCCCAACTTTGTGGAAACAGTTTGGGCATGGCCCCTTCCTCTTCCAACATGACTGTGCACCAGTGCACAAAGCAAGGTCTATAAAGACATGGATGAGCGAGTTTGGTGTGGGGAACTTGACTGGCCAGCACAGAGTCCTGACCTCAACCCAATAGAACACCTTTGGGATGAATTAGAGCGGAGACTGGAAGACAAGTCTTCTGGTCCAACATCTGTGCCTGACAAATGTGCTTCTAGAAGAATGGTCAGAAATTCCCATGAACACCCTTCCCAGAGGACTTAAAGCTGGTATAGCTGTATATATATATATATATATATATATATATATATATATGAAGAAAGAGCTACATTTTTGTTTGTTGTGCCACAGCTAAAGGATCCAGCTTTGATAAGACAAGTTTATCGTATAATCATAACTACATTTTTTACACATTGTCACACTTTGTAAAAACTGATAATTCTGATTAATATATGTTACATGAATAATTTACTCACGTTGTTTGATTGTGCTTTCAGCTGGTGATAAACTGTGTGATGTGCTTCGTTTGAACCCTGTGAAAGAAAGAACCATCAGCTACAGACCTCAGATTCATTTTATAGATCTTTATACAGAACATAATGATCGTCTCTCATGAATTTCCTTACAGCTGAGTAAATATCTGGTTAATGATTTCCACTGAAAATTAAAAACATCATCACGTTATCAAAACTGTTCGTACACTCACCAGGAGCTCTGACAGGACTCAAGTCAGAAGTGGTTGTTTCCTGTTGCTTCAAGTTTTGATGATCACCAGATACAGCAGATACTGTATCTTCAAACACATCACAGCTGACATGCTCTCCATTGTTTTCTTTTACAATTTGACCCAAACAAGTTAACAACTCAGAACGTTCAAGGTTCTTCAGCTTCAAAGATCTGTTTCTACACATTCTGATCAATTCTGTTAAGGTCGGGTGTTGCATACATTTTTCCATGAAAGCTGAGCTCTCCTCTCTGGTTGTTGATATCAGAACCAGTGAATGATCAAATGATCGATCACTGAAGAGTTCCAGGACTTTGCAGAGCCTCAGTTTTTGTTTCTCAGTGACGTCTTCACGCTGTAGAACCAGCAGGAACACATGAGGTCCAGGATCAGAGAGTCTCACACAGTTTGTCACATGTTCTGTTAGTTTGTATTCAGAGATGTTGGGATGCAGCAGATCTGGGGTGTTGATGAGAACTATTTCTTTCTCCTTCAACTGTCTTGTGATTCTCAGACAGCGGTCTGGTTCCTCCTCGGTATTGAACTTAGTCTCTCCCAGTATGAAGTTCCCCACTGATTTCCTCTCAGACCAGCTGTTCCCCAGCAGAACAACCCTCAGCTCAGACACTGAAAAGAAAACACTCAATTAGAAAAAACTCTGTAGACTTTGACCAAACTGAAAACAATCTTTAACTGCTATTATCTGCTTTCATAACCAGCTTTTTTAAGGTGGACTTGGATGTGTCAGCTGTTATCATCCTGAATGTTGCATATTTACCAGTTAGCATGCAAATAAATAAAATGTCAGTTTGTACCCAGCACATACAAACTCTGTAATTCTGGATGTTAATGTAGAGAAAAATTATTCTGACTCGGTTCAGTTTAACTCACTGTTGGGTGGCAGGTATTGATAGCTGCTGCTGTGCTTCACCTGATCTGCGGTAAACGTATTGACTCTGGGTGACTGTTCAAAAGAGGAGTAGCCCTAAGCATAAGCCTATCGTTTACCACCAACCTGTTAACGTTTCTAGTGGACCAAATCCATGACAATCCAGAGTTGAGACCAGGAGGCAAAGTCGCCTTCCATTTCAGCAGTTACCCACCCGAAACACTACACAAGGTCGGAGTCTTACACACTTCTCTGCGCTTCCATTTCAGCATTTACCTAGCCAAAAGTTAAATTAACAAAGTTCAGGTAGCATGTGATGTTTCAAAATACATAAATATAACAGAATCTAAGTCAGTGCAGCTCTCAGGCATTCTGTGTTGCTTTCAGATCTGTTTCTCCTGTAGATAAACTTTTCTCCTGTAATATCATCCCTGTCGAGGGAACACATATGTAGGCATGATTTAGTCTTTCCTCCTCTTTTGTCATGTTCACAGGGAGAGAGCAGAAAACTTGGCCAAGAAGAAACTGTGTCAACAAGTTGTTAAAGTTACTGATTGGTGCATGCATGTTTTTGGGTCATTTTATCAGTAGCTTGTTGTTTTTTTTAGCTTAAGTTACTATTTTTGGACAATGGACATTTGTAAAAGCATTTTCATGTGTTATTTAATTGCAAGCTATATTTCAGAACATTTTATTTTACAAATTATACTTTCAAAAAGTGATGGGGACGTGTCCCCAGTGTAAATGACACCTATGGCCTCAAATCATATTCATACTTACTTTCCTCAAGGAACAGGCCGAGGAGGTGGAGTTATCTTCGACTCAAGCCTACTAATGAGCTCTAAACCTAAACTAAATTATAACTCATTTGAAAGCCTTGTACTTTCACAGACAAGTTGGAAATCACTGCAACCAATTCTTTTCGTTATAGTGTACTGAGCACCTGGTCCGTACTCTGAAATCTTGCCTGAATTTTTGTCAACATCAGTCCTTAAATCGGACAAAGTTATTATTGTAGGGGATTTTAATATTCATGTGGACGTTGAGAATGACAGCTTCAGTCGACGTTTATCTCTCTTAGATTCATTTGGCTTCTCTCAGAGTGTTCATGAACCGACTCAATGTTTTAACCACACCCTCGACCTTGTTCTGGTAAATGGTACAGAAATGGAACATTTAATAGTGTTCCCACAGAATCCCTTTTTATCTAACCACTATTTGATAACTTTTGAGTTGTTGCTGGACTACACACTATTAGGTCAAAATTCCTACACTAGATGTGTTATCTAATAGGGGTATGATGAGATATCCCACCATGAGATTAAATTGTGACGAGATTTCTCATCAGGTGAAAGAGATTCAAAAAGTAGACGTTTGCTGTCAAGCCACAAATGAATTTTCTCAGCACTGAAATACCAATATGTAACTGTTAAGAGACTCTAGGAGCTTTTCAACTATGCCCAGCTGATGCAATATGGGTGTACACCCTGATAGTAAACAACTGAACCCGCTTGCGCTGTGAGTCCAGACAGCTGTGACGAGTGGTAACATAGCTGGTAGAGTTTTGCAACATAAACATCTAAAAACTGAGGCGCAACCTTGCTCTGTTTGGGACTGTGAGCTGCACTTTTTCAGAGCTGCTAAAGTTAACCTATGTTTAGATTTGTGATGAGATTAGTGCCTGATCACAAGTGGTTCAGTTACTTTCGGTTGCACATACCACATGCTGCACCAAACTGCGTTGATCAAACGGTCTGAAGGGGAAAATGTTACTACCAGCAGATCAATAAAGTAATGCACAGCAGAGTAAAGGGAAGGTAGACTTCTCATCAAATAATGACATTAGTCTCTTAATACTATGACTTTTTTCTGGACATGTCAGCAGTGCTTCCATCCATCCATCCATCCATCCATCCATCCATCCATCGTCAAACGCTTATCCTGCGTACAGGGGCTGAAGCCAATCCCAGCTTACATCGGTGTACATCTAAAGGCGGGGTACACCCTGGACAGGTCGCCAGTCCATCGCAGGGCCACACAAACAACCACTCACACTTACATTCACACCTAAGGACAATTTCAGAGACACCAATTAACCTAGCCTGCATGTCTTTGGACGGTGGGAGGAAGCCGGAGCACCCGGAGAGAACCCACACGGACACGGGGAGTCAGCAGTGCTTGAAGTGGAAAAAAATAGGTGCTAGTAAATTAAATTGCATTTCATGTTGTCTTATCGTGCATTGTTTCATTTGTTTGTTAACATTTCTTGTTTGCTGTTTTTCAGAACATTTTTAACAAAAGCTTTCAAAAAATTATGGAGAAATTCTGATTCTGACAGGTCCCCAGCTTCCCCAGTTTAAATGTCAATCTGTCTGTCTATTTTTAAAAGTCCTGCCCAATCCAGGCTGTGATTGGTCGGTTCACAAAAAGTGACAATGACAAGCTAGTTTCTGCACATGGCTGCTTGAAAGGCACCCAAACTTCTCTCCTCCCTGCTCTCTCTCCGCTGACAGAGATTAGCAGCCAGGTGAGAATGGTAACAGGTGAGTGTTTCGTAGCACCCAGAGAACCTGATATGGAGAGGGCGGAGGAGAGTACCAGCGTCCCGGTACGCCAAAGAGTGCGTACCAGCCCGCTTCAGGCACAGCATGTCAGAGAACACAGATATGTGGGAGAGACTCTGAATGTGCCGAACGTTTTGAACATGACCATAAAACCTGCTGAAACACAGGAGCTATTAAATTCCAGGAGTTTATAACTGAATTAAAAATAAATAATTTATCATTGAGGTGAAAATGTGTCACAATAACAGGAATGATATTAAATAAGTTGATCTACAGGAGATATTCCCTGAGGTGACTGGTTGCTGTGTGCGTGTAGCATCATGTGCGCAGTTCACCACAATAAGTTAACCTTACAACATGTGTGTTTCTATAGTGCATTTTCCCTTTCTGCCAACGTGTCGGATGGCCTGACAATTTCACTTCCTTCTGTCAACAATTTACCAACATTTGGTGGGTGCTAATTTCAGACCCTGTTTGCCCAGAAGTAGCTTTCTGCTCTGCGGAGAATACGCAGCATGAACTTTTAAAAATAAAACACTGTGTAGACTCCTGATCATAAATCAACAATAAACACAGTTAAAACAGACAAAAAAAAATAGAAACCATAGCCTACTTAATCATAGTACAAGCACTAATAACCAAATCAGCAAAATCTAAACATGTCAGCAAAATCAGGCAGGTAGAACGCAAAATGCTTTCTATTGGATACGCAGCCATGCAGACAACAGAAGAAAACCGGGTCAGAGAGTACCAATGCCGGTAGACCTTGTGGAAGCACACAAACAACAAATTTACAAGCCAACAGCGTGCTTCACTCCTGAAACTCATCTGAGACGCTTTCAGTGGAAGTTGACGCCGGAGTAGACGGACGCAGCAGTAATGCAAGGCAGACGAACTCAGTGTTGTCTCTGGGTAAGGCAGTGAATACTTACTTGTGTCAATGTTGCTTGAGTCTGTCCTCTAATCTCTGAGGAGCTCTGCTGAAGTCAAAGACTCACTGTGTCACCAACTGTCCTGTAACATGTCAACATCATCACAGTCATCATCAGACAACAATAAATCATCAGGATACAGTTTAAAGTGTGTGTGTGTGTGTGTGTGTGTGCAAAGTAACAAAACTCAACAACATATAATGTGAGTCTAACGAGTGTTCTGTCAGACTCTTGTTCTGTTGTTGAAAGCTGAGGTAGGCAACATATTTCAGAATCATTTTTGATATTATTTGATGAAATTCTGTTTACATCCCAGCAGCAATCAATAAATCAAATGCTCTAAAAATAAAATAAAAATGTCGGTTTCTGTGGTTGTTGCAGAACTGTACGTTACATTACTTAGCTCAAGTGACTTAACCTACGTAACGTTAATTAACTTAACACTTAAATAACTAATAAATAATAAGTTTGACCTCTATATCCACTTCAGCCACCTCCTTGCACTATGTCACATGACTTCCTGTATCATATGGACACTAAAGGTTGTGGCCTAACAATAAATGTAGATAATTGTCGTAATAAGCTGTTGCATAGTCAAGCTTTTCTGGTGAGGTCAAATACCTACCCCCACTGTATGTGCCATTTAACGTTGGCTACTTTTCAGTTAACATAAATACTGACAATCAAATATTTCAAAAAAATCATGATCATCGTGTAAACTTCGTTAAATTCTAACAGGAATTCTGTACATAAAGATTTCATCTGTTTGGTTGTTATTTTTGTAAAATAAAGTGATCTTCTCTCTTCTTTGGTCAGTGTGTGTGAGTGAACAGAACGTTTTTTAGCTCACATAGTGAAGTTACTGTAAAATAAGGTGTGAGGTTGGTCTTGCTTAGGGACACATTGGTAGATGTGTCACAGTGGGAATTGAACCCGGGTCTCTCACACCAAAGGCGTGTGTATTTTCCACTGCCATCATATTTATATACTTTTTTCTGAATTTGCTCCACAGCCGAAACAAGAGGAAGAGATGATGGGTAGTGATGGCCAATGGATAAGACATATGCCTTTGGTATGAGAGACCTTACCAAACCTGAAGTTCATTATATTTAAATCTGACTAGCGTTAGGCCAAGAAACCTAAGGTGACTCCTGAACCATCCCTTAGTTATGCTGCTATAGGCCTAGACTGCCGGGGGATTTCCCATGATGCACTGAGCTCCTCTCTCCTCTTCTTTCTATACAACCTCATCCTATTAATGCATGTTACTAACATGACTTCTTTCCTTTCCGGTAGTCTTGTGCTTTCTCGTCCCTCTCCTCTCTCCTCCTATCACTTCCTGCAGGTGTTTCTGGAGTCTGGATCTGTGGTTGCGAGTCACCTGCTGCCGCATGTTACTGCTTGACACCTTCTACTACAATTGTTAATACTTGTCCTATTGTTATTATTATTGTTATTATTATCCTTAATGTTACTAAGTATCTGTACCACTATTAATTTTCAGTCTGTACCGCTATTACCTTTCACTGTGTACTTTGGTTAGGTTAACTTTATTGTCCCAGAGGGGAAATTCTGGTTGGGCACAGTGAAGTGTTGCTTCATAAAAAACAAAACATCACAAAAGACATCAACAAGAACCTGAGAAGCACTGACATGTTGTACTTCACAAGAGGAAAATATAAACACAGATGAAAAAGGACATTGTTACCAACATAGTTACATGGATTAAAGTGCAAGTGCTAAATTTCTAGTGTGGTTGTTGCACATTGCTCAATTGAATGAAGTGAAGTTTGTGCAAAGTGCATATGCTAAGGTGCTAGTATGTTTATAGTACATTGCCCTATTGCACCGAGATCACAAATAAAATGCGGAATTGCTCACATATTTATTGCACACAGCTCTATTTTAGATTCTTCACCAGCTTAATGGAGGCTGGCATAAATAATCTAATTTTAGGTGATTGGATTTGCATTTTGGTACACAGAGTCTTCTTCCTGATGGCAGGGTTTCGTATTTAGGGAAAAGGGGATGTTGAGGGTCTGATTTAATTTTCCTAGCCTGTTTCATAACTGCCTGGTCATACAGGCTCTGAATAGGCTCATAGTCTCTCCTCCCTATAATCTTTATGGCTGTTTGGTGCATGTTGGCAAGTTTGTTGTTCAACATAACTTAATTTGCCGAAAAATGCTGTAATTCCATATCTGATGACACTCTCGAAGGTTACTTCTGTGTGGATTCTGTTGTGTTGGCTGCTCCCTCCTACCCCCCACTCCCGTCCTGTCTCTCCCTCTTTATTGCTGTCTTTCTCTCTCTTTCCGTGTCATGGTCTGAATTTAAGCAGCATTGAGGCATGATGATTGAGGGCCATCACAATCATCTATATTCTGAATTGTCATGAAAACAATAATGGCACTTACAGCTCCACACATAGTCACAGATTTCATCCACTTCCTAACAACACCCTGCGTAATCCAAGAGAAGCAAACACAATTCCTGCGGACAGACAGCTTCCACTCATATGAAGATTATTGCTCCCAGCATAAAAAAGAATATTAATGTGAAAGGCCTGGGCCCACCCATAAAGCCTGGATAATGAATGAAAATTGCCTGAAGCAGCTGGTTGTAAGGCACATTGTGCCACCGGGTGTCATCTAAAACGAGATCAGGGATCATGTATTCTCCTGAAAATTCTTTATAGTCAAATGTGTGTTGAACATAAACTCCTCTTAAGAATTTCACCATTCATTGTAAATTTTTCTAAGAATATTCTTAAATAAGGAAATCTATTCAGTGATTGGTCCTTGCCTCTGTCGCCAAAATCCTGTTTGCGGCACAAATGAGTGTTATGAATCAGCTCTAAGACTGACACTTAAGATTTAGTCCTACACTTCACTTAAATTAGGACTGAAATGCTTGATAACTAACTTTCAAGTACAGTTTTGAGCCAAGAATATTTTTACTCTCAAGTCCGTTCTTAGGAGTGTTCTGATGTTGTGAGAAGCTGAAAGAGTGGTGTTAAAAAGTTACTAAAATGATCAGAAACAGGGACCATGGCAATGGATGAAATGTCAACATCAATGCTCATAGTACTAACCAAATCCAGTGTGTTTCCATAAATATGGGTGGCATTCTGTACTTTGAATCAGTGTAGTTGTTGACATGACAATTGAAATCATCAGGTAAAATAATTTTATCATGACTGGTAAGAACAATGGACTTAAAATCATGACACTCAGGTAAGAAGTTGCCGTCATGTTTGGGGTCACAGTGCAGCATCAGCCAATCAACTGTCCTGTTCTATACAGACCACCAATAGAACATCAATCCACTTTATACAGTATATTTAGATTCTGGTTGAGTTGACTCACCAGCTGCAGTTGTTGCTGCGCCACCAGTCCGAGACAATAAAGTGAAAGTAACAGTTCACAAAAGAGGAAGAGAGCGCCTCGACCACAACAGAGCTCGTATGTTCATATATTTTGAATGACAGGAGACCGCTGTTTGTGTCCTGTGTGAAACTCCTCATGCTCAGTCATGTTTCAGTGAATGGGGATGCTAGCAGTAAAATGCTGCTGTAACAACGATGCCTTATTATGATAATGTCAGACAGAATCAGATGTCTGTCACAGAAGACAGCTAATACTTTTACTGCTGATACTTTAAGTGCATCTTGCTGACAATAGCGCATTGCTTTAATTTAAGTAGAATCTTGAATGCACAACTTTTACATCACCACTGTTAATGTCATTTTTAATTAGTCATTACTGGATTTGACAATTATACTATTTTTATCCTGTTTGTAATGGAATACAGGCTCTAAGCTCACTTAACATCATGTTGTCCTCAGGGTAAAATTTTTGTGTCACGGGCACCATCTTGTGGAGCTATTCTTCTTCTGCTGTGTATTTTACTAGGCCTATCTGTTCAAAGGATTATTTCCAATTACCACTGTAAATAATCCTCTAACCATATTAGTAGTGTGTAATCTGTTGAGCAAATCATAATATTGATGACTTCACTAGCTTGATACATCTCCGTGGTCAAACATTAGATAGTATGGAATACCATTTCACTCAATATTAAATCCATAAAAGCCCAAAAACATTAATTAACAGGTTTTTAATTAAAGAGCACTTCTTTATCTCAGCGGACCTTTACTTCCCAGATGAGTTGAGTGGTTGAGCCTCCTGTGTCTGTAATACTGTTCATTCACCAATCAAAAGCTTTAACCTGCCTTCTGACTTTTGACGGATGAAGTTGACAGTTTATTTCACTGCAGCAAGTTACGCTATGGATAAATGAAAGTATATATAAACAAATTTAATTATAAATAGATAGGCGTACATAAAAGTATGAATAAATGAATAAGAGAGAGAGAGGGGAGAGGGGAGGGAGGCAGCCTACACAGTATACACACAGAGGTACAGACAGTAAAGGTGATGTTGCAATAGACTAAATGAAAAATGGTACAGATATTTATAGTAGTGTTAATGATAACAGTCGTAGTGTTAATGATTATAATAACAATAATAACAATAGGACTAGTAACAATAGTTGTTGCAGCAGAGGGTGTCGAGCAGGAACACGGGGGCAGCAGGTGACCCGCAACCACAGATCCAGACTCCACAGCTCCAGAGCCAGAAAACCTGCAGGAAGTGATAGGAGGAGAGAGGAGAGGGACGAGAAAGCACAAGACTACCAGAAAGGGGAGAAGTTGTGTTAGTAACATGCAATAATTGGATGAGGTTGCATACAGAGGGAGAGAAAGTAGAGGAGAGAGGAGCTCAGTGTCTAGGCCTATAGCAGCATAACTAAGAGATGGTTCAGGACTCACCTGAGCCAGCCCTAACTATAAGCTTTATCAAAGAGGAAAGTCTTAAGCCTACTCTTAAATGTGGAGATGGTGTCTGCCTCCTGAACCCAAACTGGAACCTGGTTCCACAGGAGAGGAGCTTGATAGCTGAACGCTCTGGCTCCTAGTCTACTTTTGGAGACTCTAGGAACCACAAGTAACCCTGCATTCTGGGAGCGCAGTGCTCTGGTGGGGTAGTAAGGTACTATGAGCTCTTTAAGATAAAGTCAGAAACTTCTGAGTTATCATCTCCACTTTTATACGTTATTGTCAAATGATTTGTTGTTAGGTTAGAGTATTTAATTATGACTAACCCATCTGGCTACTGACAGAAGAATTTATTATTTTTGTCTGACGTTTGTGTCTTAATGAATAAATAAGTGGGGAAGCATTATCAGAGGATGATACATTTGTTTTTGTATTTCTCTTTTAGTTCATTAAGTTCTCGCTCATGTGCTTTCTTCAAGTCCTCCAGTTCTTTGAGTTTTTGTTCTTGTTGCTCAAGTTCTTCTTTCAGCCATGTTTCTTTGTGACTTAAGAGATCGTCTAACAGTTTATATTCCTGCTTCAGTGCCTTCTTTTCTTCCTCATGCTCGTCCATCAGACCTGCAAAGTTGCTGATGTATTTCTTTCTGAAGTCATTGAATTCTTCAGCTTGCTTTCTGGCCTCCTCTTCGTGTTTCTTCTTCATAACATCCTTTAGTTTCTTATATTTTTCATCAATCTCCTTTCTTTGTTTTCCCCCCTGTTCTCTTCTGTTTTGTTCTTCATTTAGTATTTCCTTTTCATATTTTTCTTTCTCCTGCTCATATTCCATTTGAAGTTTTTTAAATGTTGTTTTGTACTGTTTTTGTCTATAGTCCTGTTCTCTGTTGTGTTTTTCCCGATATTCATTTAGTTTCTTGTCCAAGGTTTCTCGTTCTTTTCTCATCTCTTCTCTTCTCTGCTCTAGCTCAGCTCTCTTTTCTTCATCTGATGCAGAATTTCTCTTAATTCTTTCCTCCAAAGCTTTGAGCTTTTTCTCCAACTCCTGTTGTTTCATGTAATTCTGTTTCATCATCATATCTTCTTTGCTCTCTTCTCTTCCTTTCGTTCTCGTCTCCCACTCCTGGTTAATTTTTTCCATATTTTCTTCAAGCTCTCTGACTCTCAGTTTTCTCTCCTGTTCACTTCCTGCTCTCTGCTCTTCCATTCTTCTTTCCATCTCTTTAATTTCTTCGTCATGTTGTCTTTCAAGTTCCTCCTGCTCCCTCTGTATCTCTTCTTCCTTGTCCTTCAGGATTCTCTCCATTTCTTTCTTTATAGCTGCCTCTGCCTCTTGCAGCATCTCATTGGTGTAGCAGCTGCCTCCATTTTCCTTCACCATGGTGTCAATCTTGGTTATCAGCTCACTGACTTGCTTGCCGTTATGTTTATCATAGTTATTCAACACATGGTATCTTCCTCCACAGTCAGAGATCAGCTTCTTAAAGGAATCATCACATTTATGTTCAATGTATTCTTCGATGGAAACTTCCTCATGTTCCAGTGAATCTCCTCTAGAGAAAAGAATGATGGTGAAGGTTTCAGAATTCTTCCCAAAGACTTTCTTGATGAGTTTTAATGTCTCCTTCTCCTCTGGTGTGAGTCTGCCAATTTCTAACACCAACAGGAAGACATGTGGTCCTGGAGCCAGAAGACTGATGCATTTCACCATCTCCTCATGAACCTCTTCATGGGACAAAGTTGTGTCAAACAGACCAGGAGTGTCGACCACAACGACCGGACGACCGTCCACTTCACTCTGTGCTTTCTGACAAACTTTGGTAACTGATGTTTGGCACGATTCGGCTTTAAACTCCTTTCTTCCTAGAATCATGTTTCCTGAAGAGCTCTTTCCACAGCCAGTCTTCCCTATCAACACAATCCTGAGACTCTCTGGGCTCTGCTCCTCATCACCTGTAAAATAAGAAGACACGTAGTTACTTTGAGGGGTCATATTATGCTTTTTGGCTTAATCCCTTGCCTTTATTGTGTTCTTTATGTTTTTTGCCCATGTAATGGGCTTGCAAATTGGGAATTGTTGGGTTTCTGTGAATTATATCACAGAGTCCGGTCTGGACCTGCTCTTTTATGAAAAGTGCAATGAGATAACTGTTGTTGTGATTTGGCTCTATATAAATAAAACTGAATTTAATTGAATTCAAAGTGGAAGAAGTCCACCCCAGAGTTACCATCTCCCAGAGAAAACACTGCTCCTGAACTGAATGAAAACAGCTCGACTGTAGTCCAGCCTTTCCTTCTGTAACCTCTCTGCATCACTGATAAATCTTAGGCTACCTAGCGGCGAGTGTGGCTCGCCCTCAAAAACACCCCTCACCCCCACCATCCCTACCAAACGTTAGAGACCCACCAGGCAGTCAATGAACATAAAGTTATTACTTTGATGTAGAGACAGTGCACTGTTAAAACGTTACGTATGTCAGATGTGTTACAGATAAATTACTCACCACTGAAGCTCTCTCTCCTAGGTTGCAAAACTGGTTCAGGAACATGTACAGTTGAACTGAAGCTGTGGTTACCAGCTTGTCAGGACCCTCCCTACTCTGCTTTTGATTGGCTAGAAGTCCCTACTTCAGTACTGCGCATGTGCAACTCCTAACAAAGATCAAATACATTACATTTATTTATTTATTTGACGCTTTTATCCAAAGCGACTTACAATTGTTATACATGTCAGAGGTCGCACACCGCTGGAGCAACTAGGGGTTAAGTGTCTTGCTCAGGGACACAACTCTGGATGGGTCACAGTCGGGGATTGAACCTGGGTCTTTCACACCAAAGGTATGTGTCTTATGCATTGCGCCATCACCACAAAAAAAAGTAAGATGCTTCACTCCATAGCTGAAACAAAGCATTCAACACACAGGGTGAAACAGGAGCTGCAGCAATGCGCATTATGACGGAAATATGGTGTTTTTTGAAAATAAAACCGTGTAAAGCTGTTCTAGTACAATCTTCTAAAAATTTGCATAAAACAATAATTTTAAATGCTAATGTGCTGCTCCAGAGAACGTACTGCACTGTCCTGACTCGAACTTGCGGTGTCGGGGAGTGAGGTTTACTCACTGCACAGCCTTGCTAGCTTCTGTCACACTGACAGTTACCATACTATGGTATACATACTATATATATATATAAAATTGGAGCACTGGGGGCTGAGCAACTTCTAGCTCAGTGTTCTAACATCCGCAAACAGCAGCTCCTATCACAACTAGAGATTGATGAGGTACAACAAATATGCTACGGCAAGGGGGAGCCAGGACAACAGGTCAGCGGGGAGATGTTATCATTATCATCCCCACACTCAGAGATTGGGTCCCAAGCCCCTATAACAACAAGCCCTTACGGCACAGAATCACTCAACATAAGGGCGACTGACCTATGTTTGAAAATCATAACCAAGCTGGACCCCCAAGTACAACGACCAAGATTGCCAAAGCGAAGTGACAATGTACCCTCTGAAAGTCTGCTAGAAGATGTGAATGTAGCACTAGGTACTATCCCTACTAAAGCCATAACCGAGACCAATGAGCTGATGTACATCACAGCAACAGTGATCCTAGAGATGCTTGGCTATGAGATAAACACCACAAGCCACAAAGGATAGAGGTCAAGATCAAGGCAACACGAAGAGAGGTTAGTCAGCTCTCAGAGCTACAGAAAGGTGCAAGGATGGGGCTACCTAAGAAATACAACAAGCTGTCGATACCTGATGCTCTGGAGACTGCCAAACAAAGACTCACCGCTCTGGCTACCCGCCTAAAGAAATACAAGGGAGAAGCAGAAGCCAGGAGAATAAACTGGATGTTCTCCACCGAACCACCGAGTGTACTGAGTGTAGTGGCAGGGTAATAACACAAGATCAGATCCACCCAGGGCCGAGACTCAACATATACATACTGGAAGAACATATGGGAGAAAGAGGCATCTCACAACACCAATACTCAGTGGCTAGTGGATCTAAGAACACATCACAACTATCTCCCAGAACAAGATCCAGTAACCATTACAACGGCAGACATTCAACAAAGAATGGCAGGTATGAAGAGCTGGACAGCACCAGGCCCTGACATGATCCACACCTACTGGCTGAAGAAACTAACTGCGCTCCATGAACGCCTGGCAGCACAAATGAACCAACTGCTGATGGATGGGACCCACCAAGAATGGCTGACCCAAGGATGGACAGTCCTGATCATGAAGGGCCCCCAAAAGGGAACAATCCCATCCAACTATCGGCCAATAACCTGCCTCTGCACAACATGGAAGCTCCTGTCAGGCATCACAGTGGTTAAGATGAGTAGGCACATGGCTCGATACATGGACAGGGCCCAGAAGGGAATTTGCAGTAATACCAGGGGAGCCAAACACCAGCTACTGGTTGATAGAGCAGTCACTCATGAATGCAAGACCAGGCAGACCAATCTGTGCAAAGCCTGGATTGACTACAAGAAAGCTTACAACTCAATCTTGAATGCTTGGAAATGTACAAGATCAACAAGACACTAATAGCCTTCATCAAGAACTCAATGGGGCTGTGGAAAACAAGTCTGGAAGCCAACTCAAAGCCAATTGCACAAGTTGATAGGTCACAAATTATTTAGAACATTACAGCCTAAATTGCTGTCATTAACTGTATTGCCATCATTTCATTAAGTGCAGTGTTCATCATTTAAAGTATAATTTTAAAGTGTAAAAGTTAGGATCACAATATTAAAACTCTATAGCTCTGAGAGTGTGTGGTCCTCTCTGTGTCTAACTGCCCGGAGGCAGTAGCACATGTTTGTGTAAGCAGGCACTTGTGCTCTGGGAGCAGAGTGAATGAGCACAGCAAGACATCATAAAACACCAGCAAAGGAAAATGTACAAGCAGAATTAGTGAAAATTGGGTTACAAAACATACATAAATATGGTCCATCACAGTAGGAATGTCTTTAGTACACTGCACAAAAGACACCAGCTTATTCCACAAAGTAAGGTTTTTGGTGAAAATAGCATGATCAGGGGAGGGCAGGTCATCATTTTTTAGTAGTAATCATTAATCACTCTTAAATCATCATTTTAAATCAATCATTTTATTATCTTTAATCAGTATCAGTAACTAATCTTTCTTATTGCATTATTTTTAATCATTGTATAATCCTTAATTAGCATTAATCATTAATCATTAGTAGTTAGTTTATTAATCATTATTAGCTTATTTATTATCCTTACTTACTTCTTAATCTTTGAGCATTACCGAGATGTGTCTTATTTTCTACTTAGAAGTGCTGTGCTGTAATCATGACTGCAGTAACAAAGTGAAGATCCCTGAGTGGGAGAATGGACCGTACACTGAGACTATGCATACCTTTTTCAACTGTTATCTACTGTAGATTTATGACAGCATGGGAGGCTGCAGGAGTTCAAAATCTGCTGTGACAAGTGCATGCTTTGGTCTACTGATATCCACTGTTATAACATGATGAACTGCCGAGGTGTCATTCTACTGATATTAAGACAACATGTTTAATTACCAATTAAGACTACATGCTTAATTACTGCTTAAAAGGGTAGATTGTCTACTTGTAACCACTGATGCTAGCGCCTGTGTGACCTTCAAGTGAACTTGCCCGTGGGCGCTTGGTGAACCTGCTGACGAAGCACTAGCTGACTCAGCTTGGCAGAGTGGGTGAGTTTCAAAGGTTGAGAAAGGAGGCATAGATGGTGACAAGAAAATTAGTAAAAAACTACTATAACAACAAGATTACTGTAAGAAACCAAGCATCGATGATAGGCACAGCACAGCACAGCACTTGTTATTCCTGTAGTGATTGATTAAGAAATATAACTGTGTGTCAAGTTATATACGCATAACTGCTGAAAAAGGGTGACATTTGTTTGTTTGTTTATTTATTTATTACAGGGACAGTGCATATTCATAAACATTTCTGTCAATATGCCAGAATTAGCCTAAAGGCTATTTTTCATCTGCAGTCCCTAGACAGATGTTAAGAGTCACCCTAAAAAAATTGAGTTACAATGTAAATGATGAGTTTCTTATCCTGCAATATAACAAAAATATAGAAAGTCAACAAACACAGAAGGATGAATGGAAGCTGGAAAACCGGTATAAATATTAAAACAACATGTGTGAACAGAATAAAAACAGAAGATAAGAAACTCAGCATAAAGAAAGAAGGGGGGCACGCCAGCCCAAAAGGGGTATATAAGGCTGTCCACAGACCATAGAGGGAACTTCGTCCTCCAGCCTGCTGGGATGCTGTCCGGGTTTATGTGTCCTGTTTTGGAATAAACTCTTTTTGCACCGACTCTTGACCGTCTCCAGAGAAGATTTTTTTCTGCAGAGTTATCGTAGAAAGCTAATGGAGTATTTTTTGACAAAGTTTATTAAGTTGGTGAAGGTGGGGACCAGGCTTAACTGGCCCAGCCTGGTCGTACATCTGACCCAACAAAGTCACAATCAAGTGCGGCATATACCAAGGGGATGCACTATCCCCGCTGCTGTTCTGCATAGGCCTGAATCTAGACCTGCTCTTTTATGAAAAGAGCTGTGAGATAACTGTTGTTGTGATTTGGCGCTATATAAATAAAATCGAATTGAATCAGCCAGATCATCACAAAGACTGGCTACGGATACTGGTTACGAAGTGGAACAACCATCAGTCACCTCCTCTACATGGATGACATCAAGCTGTATGCCAGAAATGAGTGAGACATCGACTCACTGATCCACACTACCAGGATCTACAGCAACGACATTGGAATTTCGTTCGGACTGGACAAGTGTGGTCGCATGGTATCGAAAAGAGGGAAGATGATCAGAGGGGACTGAACTACCCGAAGGCCACATTGCAGATGTTCAGGACAGCTAAAAATACCTTGGGGTGCCGCAGGCTAACGGAAACCATGAGGAGGCAGCAAGGAAGTCCGCCACACCCAAATACCTACAGAGAGTAAGGCAGGTCATGTCAGCTGAATGGGAAAAACAAGATCCGAGCCATTAACACATACACCCTGCCAGTCATCAGATATCCCGCTAGTATAATAAACTGGCCAAAGGAGGAGATAGAGGCTACTGACATAAAGACGAGAAAGCTCCTCACAATGCATGGAGGGTTTCACCCAAAATCCAGCACCCTGAGACTGTACACCAAGCGTAGCGAGGGAGGCCGAGGGCTAGTGAGTGTCAAGACCACTGTCCAGGATGAAACGACAAACATCCAGGAGTACATCAGGAAGATGGCCCCCAAAGATGAAGGGCTTAGTGAATACCTCAGGCAGCAGAAACCCGAAGGTGAGGACAAGGAAGACGAAGAACTTTCATGGTGGGACAAGCCGGCTGCACGGCATGTACCACAGTCAAATAGAAGAAGTGGCTGCTATCAAGAAATCCTACCAGTGGGTGGAAAAGGCTGGACTGAAGAACAGCACAGAAGCACTAATCATGGCGGCACAAAAACAGGCACTCAGTACAAGATCAATAGAGGCTGGGGTCTACCACACCAGGCAAGACCCCAGGTGCAGACTGTGCAAGGATGCCCCTGAGACAGTACAGCACATAACTGCAGGGTGTAAGATTCAGGCAGGAAGAGCGTAAATGGAACGCCATAACCAGGTAGCTGTCATAGTGTACAGGAACATCCGCCATGAGTATGGGCTGGAAGTCCCAAGGTCAAAATGGAAGACACCTTCTAAGGTAGTTGAGAATGAACGAGCTAAGATCCTGTGGGACTTCAAGATCCAGACTGACAGACTGTTGATGGCTAACCAACCAGCAGAAGAAGGCTGCAATGATAGATGTGGCAATCCCAAGCAACACCAACATCAAGAAAAAGGAATACGAGAAGCTTGAGAAATACCAAGGGCTGAAAGAGGAGCTAGAAAAGATGTGGAAAGTAAGAGCAACAGTGGTGCCAGTGGTAATCGGAGCGCTGGGGGCCCCCAAACTGGGAGAGTGGCTACAGCAGATTCCAGGTAAAACATCAGAGGTCTCTGTCCAGAAGAGTGCAGTCCTAGGAACAGCTAAGATACTACGCAGAACCCTCAAACTCTCAGGCCTCTGATAGAGGACCCGAGCTGGAGGATCACAAATACCACCTTGCAAGGGGTGAGAGGGGGATCTTTCTTTAAGATATATATATATACACCATATTTTGTGACAGAGTTGTACGTCAATGAAATACTATACTTACAGCTGACCGTGGTCTTTGTTTTCAGGTCCTTAAGTTCAGCCTGTGTGGTTATGTTTTTCTGTGGTTGTAAGACCTTGTCCTTTTGGGCTAATGTTTCTATTGTATAGCAGAGATGTCTTCCCTTAGATTGTATCATCTTTTCCACCATGTCCAACAGCTCTGGGATCTGCTGCTTGTCCTTGATGTTGAGAACAACATCTCTTCCTCCACAGCTCTGACGGAGCTCCTGGATGTCCTTGTTTTCCTTTAGAAAGTTAACAACAGCTGGAGCTGCAGGATCTGACTCCACAGTGAACAGAATCATGGTGAAGTCAACGACTCGAGAGCTGAATGTGTTCTGGATGGTCTCTAACTCTCCCTTGTCTTCATCAGTGAGGGGACCCACAGGTAGGACCAGGATGAAGACATGGACGCCCTCAGGATCACAGAGGGAGATACACCTGAGTGATTCCTCCATCACTGCCTCCTGAGGTTTTCCATACAAGGCAGGCAGCTCCACCAGGGAAACCCAACGTTCACACACCTCTCTCTGATATTTAACACACTCTGATGAGTTGGAGACTGAAAGAAACTCTGTCTGACCTAAAATGGCCTTGGCTGCTGAAGTCTTCCCTGCTCCTCTCCTCCCACACAGAACCAGGTTTAAAGCTGGTTTGATGTATTCATACATTGGTCTGATGGTCTCTTCAGTGAAGGTGAGGAAGGTTCCTTTGTTTTCATGCACAATCTTCTCAATCTTCTCCATTAACAATGTGTGGTCATTTGCAAACATGCTGTACTGCCTTCCACCACATTCTTCAAGCAGCTGATTCACATAAAAATTTGCAGTCGTTTCATGTGTGCTGATGAGCATTGAGTGTTTAAAAGCATCTTGACCAAACAAACTCAGAATGAACTGCAAAGTTAGTGTCTTCCTCTTCGTGAATGTAGAGGGTTTCACTAACAGCAGCAGAACATTTGGTCCAGGCGAACAAAAAGCCACACATCTCTTCATCTCTTCTTTAACTGTTTCCACAGACAGACTGAAGATATTTCGGGCTTTAACTACTATTACAAATTGTTCTTTCCACTCCCCGTAGCTGACTGATTTATGTTTTTTGGAATGAGCCCCTTGGTTACCAATGATGAAGTTTCCAAGTTTTGTCTTTTTGTTCTCACTTTTCCCCAGCAGCACAATCCTGAGTGAAGATTCTGTAACACAATAGTGAGAGAGAGAAATAAATCAGGGGGAATAATCTCTGTAGTGAACAGAACCAGAACCTTTCCTTAATTATTAATGGAGTAACGTGGAAATCCCCTTTCCAACAAAGAGGTCTTTCTGTCGTCTTTAACTTTACCCAGAACCAAGGACCCAGGATATAACAGGATTTAACTGATATTCACAACTCTCATAAGCTTCAAAGGCACCTTCATTGATAAGCCTGATGTGTTTATTTGACTGGTATCAGACCACATGGCCTCACCACATCCCACAGGACAATTCTTGCTGAACTAAACCAATTAAAAGTCTTTTTACATAACTAACCACATTTTTATATTTTAGATAATGGTAAACAACTCCAAGAAACAGGATGCTCTTTACTACCCAATCTTTACTACCTCTATATCTCTATGTCCTGCAACTTTCATCTTTCTCTTCCTCTCCTTAAAGGCTATCTTAAAAGATATTTTTAGAAGATTTTTCACCTTTTCTCTGAATTTACAAGATTTGACATAACCTCCTAGTTTTGAGATTACGAATGAATGATCCTAAAAACTGAGCAGTGAGTGCAACAGCACCCACCACAACACAGCTATGCATCCAGCTCCTCCAGCAACACTCACAGTGGTTTGATTAACAGAGTGCTCTGAGTTACAATTTCAGGAAAAAATATGTTGCACTGACCACAGACTTCACCTGGTGAAATAAAGTTGGATATATCCAACACATATTTCATTGTTTTATGCTATAAGTATATGAGGTTTGAGTGCCACATGGACAATAACATGTCACCGTGGAGTGGACACCATGCCGTTTGTTCTGAGAGTGTCTGTGACTGGCCGAGATAGCCTTGAACAATATGGTTATCAAGATGAATTCTTGCCAGAGAATCATGCATTAGGTTTTAAGGACATGGAGCTCAGTGGAGAAACCACAGTACCAAAATAGCCCTCGTTTTTAGACATTTAGTGCTCTGTGGTCATGTCAGCAACACCTTAGCAACAACTAATATGCAACGTCCGGTTAGACCTTCAAACACTAGCTTTTCGAAACATCGGCATTTTGAAATGCTGTAAAATCGTGAAACGTTGCAATTTGGTTAAGTTTAGGCACAAAAGGTACTAAAAAGATCATGGTTTGGATTAAAATAACTACGTACGTCACATACTCAATTTACTCCTTTAGTTGATGCTTTTATCCAAAGCGACTTACAATTTTTATATATATCATAGGTCGCACGCCTCTGGAGCAACTAGGGGTTAAGTGTCTTGCTCAGGGACACAATGATGGGTCAGAGTGGGGATTGAGTCTGGGTCTCTAACACCAATGGCATATATCTTATCCATTTCTCCACCACCCCCACGTTACCTGGCTAGCTTCAATGCAAATATTTAATGACCATGCCACTACGAAGAACATTATTGATTTTTGAATGGATTTATTCTGTGTTGCAATGGTTTTATGTCAGTGGGGTGTTTCATACTTTATACTCACTTACCAATAACTTTTTCAGGTTCTGAGATTGTTTCCTGTGCTTCACAGCTCAAATGCTGTCCTCGGTTCTCCTTTATAGTTTGGTCCAAGCATTCCAACAGCTCTGAAAGTTCAGCTGTCTTATTCCATAGAAATTGGCCTCTACATTTTCTGATAATGTCTATTAAGGGTGCATTGTTCATGTAGTTTTTCCTGACTGAAATCTCATCTGTGGGTGTTGATATCAGAACCAGTGAATGATCAAATGATCGATCACTGAAGAGTTTCAGGACTCTGCAGAGTCTCAGTTTCTGTTTCTCAGTGAAGTCTTCAGGCTGTAGAACCAGCAGGAACACATGAGGTCCAGGATCAGAGAGTCTCACACAGTTTTCTATAAACTTGGTTAATTTATCTTCAGAAATGTTGGGATGCAGCAGATCTGGGGTGTTGATGAGAACTATTTCTTTCTCCTCCAACCATCCTCTTTCTCTCAGACAGCGATCTGGTTCTTCCTCAGTGTTGAACTTAGTCTCTCCCAGTATGAAGTTCCCCACTGAACTCCTCTCAGACCAGCTGTTCCCCAGCAGAACAACCCTCAGCTCAGACACTGAGAAGAAAACAAATGAAAACAGTTGACTATGAAAGGTCAGCCCGGTTGTGCCTCTATACTGGATAGGTGCAGACTCTCCATTGTGGTAGAACTACCAGGTGAGGTCCCTTTGCTCATTTCTGGTCTTATTCTATATTAATCTCAAGTCATCAGAATCCAAGACTCAAACCAACAATAAATTGATCCTTCTTACAAGTATTGTCTAACCAAGGCCTGACACAGACTAAGCTGGGTTGCAGGTGGAAGTAAAGGATTACTCTTCATCAGTGCTTTTGTCCCGTTGATCCTTCTACACGTTGAAAACATAGTTATCAATTGTCATTAAAATTAAGGTTCTAATGTAAAAAAAACTACAGAAGCCCTAACATTCAATTCATCGATTCATATCTTTGTTTTACTCCGTTTTCCTGTGATAACGGGATCATTTTCTCGTGATCTCGAGATAACAGAACAGTGGTCTAACACAGTGGTTGGCAAGAACGTTTCTTAATGGTAATTTCAAGGTGCTATTAGTGTCACTGATTAGCTCACTTGGTAGCTAATGGAAGGCTAACTTTAAAAAAAAAACTTTTTTATAATCCTCTTCAACAAAGTCGTGACTGCTGACTGCTGACATGCTCACAATTAATCACGTGCTTGGAGTGTGCGCATCTGGCAATTGGTCCACATTCATCAACCTATAGGCTTTTCATTTCCCCATCGTTCCCAGGCAGAGGAAATTCATCCGCTTCTCATGCAGGGGAATCCATTTAACTACACATTTAACTACACATTACCTGACGGCTATTTCAGAATCTTTGAAATAGCCGTGTGAAATGTGTGATTGGATTCCCCTGAATCTCTTGATAACAACTTTGTTGAAAAGAAAGATTAAAAAACACAAAAAAAAGGATAAAAAAACTTTGCAGAGGGCTGGGATTGAACCTGTTTGGTATGCAAGTCCTGCACTCTACCAACTGAGCTAACTGCTGACTGAGCAGAATGACATGAAATAAAGAAACGCACCTGCTGATCCCTGTATTTAGGTAGGGTTCGTTATCTCGAGATCATGAGAAAATTATCCAGTTTTCACGAGAAAACAGAGTAAAATAAACATAGGAATCGATGGCCGATTAGGGGTTCCCTAAAAAGACATTTCAACAAAATGAATTCCAGTTTTAACAGACGGAAGATCATATTTTCTGCTTTGTTCAGCTGTTTCTTTCACTCCACTTTTACAGCATTGTGTGTGTGTGTGATCTTTATAAAATCATATCCAGAATAGGGTGGCCAGGAAGATGGATTGAGAGATGGACCGACATTGCTAGTTGTTTTAGTCTTTTCATTCTCTTCAATTTGGGGACTGGATTATGTCCTGCTATCTTTACAGGTGGAAGATTCATTCTATGAAAAAACAGAATAATTCAGATTCAATCTAGTTTGACTCACTCAGAGGAGGAAGGAGTTCATAGCTGCTGCGCATCAAAGGTTTATCATCTGATGCTGCCAGGAAACAGAAATGAGGATATTTATAAAAGCTCTGCTCATAACAGTTAGAAATATGGTTTAAACAGGTTAAGTATATGAAAAAGAGGGTTTTCATGTGTGAAATCTGAACTTCATTGTCCAGCATAAACAGAAATTGTAACCATAGGAAAGTATAAAATGTCATGTAAAGTTAGCCTGTGATATAATATGAGGTCATCATGTTGCCAACTCAGTCTATTATTAATCAAGTGAAATGAAATGATAATGATCATCATAAAGTGTGATCTTTTGCCCAGCTGTCTGGAGTAAACAGCTCCCTCTGAGTCTCCAGCTGCTGCTTCAAAACATAGATTATGGCACTCAAAATTACACACAAAACGTCAGTAAATTCAGAAAAGATATCCACCTGGAGTTTTTTTTATAAGAACGATTCAGTATGATCCTACAACCACATGATGAATATGTGCCTGTCCTTTTTATGTGTTGATGTAATGTATAATCAGGTAACTTATTGATAAAACTGGGCTTTGACTAGCCTTAGCACTGCTGGAGCAGATCTGTGTGGTCATAAACCAACTTATTTACAAAACAGATAAAACCAAATGATAAAATATGCTGGCTATACATGTGTATTTGTTTACTATGAAAAGCAAACCATAGCATTTAATAGATGCTGTTTGCATTTGGTCACATTATTGAGTGTCAAAATGTCTATAAAAACTCAAAATCAAATTAATCTGCTGATACAAGTGAAAACATGTTAAGCATTATGAAACAAATTAGCATAACCGCAGCTTGAAAAACTCTGTACCAGGATTATATTCTGACATATAAAAAGGTTATTTTAACAGTTCTTCATCTCTTGTCCTGTTCAAAAATTAAATATTATTATTAAACACAAACATCGAATTATTGATATAGTCAGAGACAGTGTTTCCATTTCTCACTGGGATTGAATGTGTCCTGTTATAAAACATTTGCTACACATAAATCTAAATTTATTTCTCTAAGAATTGTGTTTTTCAACATGCACAGGAAATCAAAATATCTCTAAATATAAACTGAAATATTATGACGTAGTGGCAAATAGATTTTTCCCCTGAGCTGTATGAAGATCTGAAGAAGGAAAAGTTGCTGAAACATGCAGGTAGGTAAGAACTGAAAATCAGTTGGCCTAACGTTTCACTAAATAACTAACAGGCAATCAATCAGGACTGATATCATAATATATCAGAGGAGTGCATGTCCAATGGTCGGTGTGATGTTTAAGATATTTGTGAATAGGAAAACCCATTAAAATAACTAAACTATGATATTAATGAAGCAAAGCCTGAAGACAGAAACATGCAGACTGTGCATGTTTATAATATAAAGCTTGACTGGACTCACCACATGTTTTAGCCATACTGTCAATCTACTGGAAACCCACAAGAGAGACTGCTGACTGGTGCTGTATGAACACAATAAAAAAATAATCTTTTTAAAATCTCTGTCAGCTCCTGCTGAATTTAATTCAAACATGCATTATTGAAAGAGCAGGAGAGAAACCTTTCTCTTGAGGTATATAAAAGTATGTTACTTGATGAAGGTAAATGGCAGTGACTTGCAGGGGCTATTCAGATAACACAGTAAATAAAATAGAATTACTTATTGATCCATGTTACAGTGTTCGCAATTCCTGTGACAGTCTATACCCTAAAGCTGAAGACTATGGACAGTGACAGAAGGGGTTTCAGCAGAAAACAACTGTAACACGGTGGATCAATATATTTTGATACAAAAAAAAAAACTTTTTAGGCCTATACATGTACCACCACATGAACAAAAAACAAACCAATACATCTAATATGAAACTTCAATGTCCTTCATCACTGTATACATGATGTATATCATGTATCATAAACTGTCCTTGCGCGAGGATCCCTTCCATGATGTTGTCAGACACCAGGGCCCGTATTTATCAAGCTTCTCAGAATTACTCATAAGAACACTGCTAAGAACTGACTTAAGAGTAAAAAAAAATCTTGGCTCAAAGCTGTATTTAAAAAGTTAGTTATCAAGCATCATGGTCCTAATTTGAGTGAAGTGTGCAAACAGGATTTTGGATGACGATGTAGCCAAGGACCAATCGCTGAATAGATTTCCTTTTTTAATAATCTTCTCAGATAAATTCACATTCAATGGTGAAATTCCTAAGAGGAGTTTATATTCAACAATAATAACAATAATAAATAAAAGAATATATTATTATATAGGCCTACACATTAATAAATGAAAGAAAAAAAGTTTATTTTTAAATGAGCGCCTTCAAATGCGCCTACTACTCCTGTGAAGCCGGCTGTTTGCACCTTCAGTTTAACTGAAAACGCATGACTGCAGAAGTCAGTGGTGAGATGACCAACTCGCTGACAAAGATCATGCCTGCGCTGTCCGACCCCGTCTACTTAACTGTGCGTCGTCAAATAGGCCTAATTCAGAAACATTCTTCCTCTCCTGAAATATTTGCTCATGTCTCTGTCTCCACAGCGCCATCACAAGCTACTGCTGGCAGCTCCAACCACCTGAGAGACCTCTGGAGCTTCTTAAATAACTGGGAGAGTAAGAGTCATTCTAAATTAAAAAACAATTTCATGAATTCTCTGCACTTAAGACTAAAATGGCCCTTTGAGAAGCTTGATAAATACCGGCCCAGGTCAACAGTCGTCTGAGCCTGTCGCCAGGAACAAGAAGCACTATTTGTGGACGACATTTTGACAATGTAATGTTGTTTTGTAAGGGTTTGTTTTCTCCCAGAGTACAGTTACAAAGTAAATCCTGCCTTCAACTACTGATCTTCTTCATGATAAATAAACCTGCAGATCATTTTGCATTAATCGTTTGGTCTATTAAATATTAAACATCACGGCGTCTTCCAGCCCAAATTGATGTCTTCGAATGAGTTGTTTTGTCCAACCAACAGTGCATTATTATTTTTTATAACGAAGACAAAGAGCAAGGACAAACCAAGGACAAATTTTTCAAACTAACAGCAAAGTCAAATTTTAGAAAAGACAGTAAAAATATCTTATTAGAAAAAATATATAAAAGTCTGTTAAAAGGTTGAAGCAAAATCTCCCAATCTTTCATAATTGGTTGTTTATTTTCTGGTATACACTCAATCCACTTATTAGGTACGTCTGTACAAGTTAATGTAATCCAGTACAAATGTTGTGTTATAGAGTTTTAATAATGTTCAGTTTTTGTCAGTTGATTAAATGATCTGTTTTACCACTGAGGTCACAGTGATGGTATTGTACTCGACTGCCTTATATCCAGAGGTGTTTCTAATATTGTGACCCTCTCGTGCACGTAATGAACTGTTGTGTTTTTATTACCTGAGACATTTCTATCTACATACACCGCGGGTCCTCTTACATTGAATTTGACATGTTACTCTGCCATGTTTCCACAGCAGCCCAAACAGACAAACTGCTGTACAGAGTGCATCTCATCATGTTGAATACCTATGAAACCAGTCAGCAATTAGCACCATTACAGTGGAATGCAAAGGGAAGCACACACAGATGGCATCTTGATACATGTTATCATGAGTGTGGGATATGCCGCTGTCCTTTTTCCATGTTAACTCTCCAGAGAAGCAGCAATTTGATGATCCCAGCTCATAAATTTTTCCCCTGCTCAGCTGTCTTTACACGGCGAGTCTATTTTTGTCAACTCTGAAGCATTAAATTCAGTTAAATATATATTATATAGGGACCTATATTCCTTAGCAAATTAATTAAAATGAATATTTAATGATGCAAGAATGTAGGAAAAAGATGGTGGTGATGGTTCAGTGGATAACACACGGGTTCAATTTCCACTGCGGGAATTCCCAATGTGTCCCTGAGCAAATCACTTAACCATTAGTTGCTCCAGAGGTGTAAGACCTGTGACATATATAGAACTTTTACAAACACTGTAATTCGAGGTGGTAATATAGAGAAGAAGAGTTCTGACTCAGTTCAGTTTAACTCACTGTTGGGTGGCAGGAATTGAAAGCTGCTGCTCCGCTGCACAGGTTGCAGATCATTTGACACTGTAAGGACACAAAACAATGATTTATTCACATGTGATCTATAATTAAAGGGACACTGTGTCTGGAAGGACACATTGATTATTTTGTGTTTTTACTTATTTGAGTTTGAGTCTTTCAGATACTTTTCTCTCATTTGGTGTCAGAGGTGTTACCCAGTCAGCAGTTTGCACAAAACTATGTTTTAGAGTTATTGTACAACATTAATTTAGAATGACACAAGTTGGTGTAAACTTGTTAAATGCACACACATGCCTTATTGTCATTAACAAGGTTGTGCTGCAACACCATTAAACAGCAGGTTGTCGACCCTTCCAGCACTGCAGATGTGTGCAGCATTTAGAAAACATGCGGCAAATACACACAACGACAACAAGTCTTTCCCGAGGACAATAAAAAATTAAAAGAGACATGAGCATGACTTCAGTAACTTCATGAGTCACAAACAACATGCGTGTCCAAACCATGCTATTTATTTTTAGTGTCCTTTGGAAACAACGTTATCGTTTTGTATTTCTAAATGCTGCAGATTTAATTGATGAAAATGTTTCCTACATTTGCTTGTGTTTTGTCCAATTGCAAAACAAAACACAAGTTGCAGTGTTTGTTGAGCTCTGAAAAAGACGCACCAGTATCATATTGGTATTGTTAATAACTGAGCAGGTGCATACGTACACATGTGCATTAACATAGGTATTTATTGTCTATGAATGGATGGATGTGTGTGATAAAATAGCATAGCTTGGTTTTTATTTATTGTCAGGACTATGTAGCTTGTACAAAAACCTTTCTGCCATTGCTATGATCTGTTTTGACGTTCATTATTTTGTAGCTGTTTATTTATTTCTCCTTCTTGTTTTAGACCAAAATTCAAATCCGAAAATGGAGCTCATTAACACTGATGGACAGAAACATGTCTACTGGAGATTTCTCATGATTAATAAAAAATGTTCACAGATTCTGCTCATGTTACACCTCTGCCAGGTATCAACACTGTTGCTTATCATGCTGTCAGTTTGATTTCTTTCTGATTAGTTTGAAATGTGTCCGCCCTCACCTCCTGTGTGTCTCTGTATTTATTGTCCTCACCTTGTTTTGTCCGGACTTTGCCACATTGTTTGGACTTTGTTTGGAATTTGCCACTCACTGTTAGCGTGTTCACCTTTGTGTAGGCTGTTTTGTTAATAAATTATAGAACTGCCAGATAAGTGTCTGCTTTTGGGTCCTAACCCACAAAACCTGTCTGAGCTCAAAGCCCAGGATCACCAAGCCCCTCTGACTCCGAAGTTGTTACATACAGCCTCATGGTCAAGACCACAGGGTGTCAGTTAGTAACATTCTGGGAAGTGTCATAGTTCAGCGCACTGGGGGAAACCCTGTAGAATAGTTTTTGTACACTAAAAGCAGATGCAGGATAACAGAAAGGTAAGGAGATGGTAGAGAGGACAGGTGTGCCAGAAACCAGACTTTCACCCAGGAGGTCGGTGTTCATTTCCAGGTTGTTCTTGTCAGGTTCCTTAAGGTAAGATTAGTATTAACATTTTTTAATTTTTAATTTTTTTTAATTTTTAAAAGTCCTCTTTTGGTTATTCTAATTTCTATGTTTTGAACAGCACCCACAGGCCCTGATTTCTTTTTTATAGTTTGACTCAGTTTTTTGTGTATGTCAGTTATTGTCCTGGCAAATAAATAACTTTATTTAACCAAAGTCACCTGGCTAGCGAGCTGGGTTGTAACACACTGCCAACAGAAAGACCTGAATACAAAATGAACTTTGATTAAAAGAAAGAGAAGGGACAAGAAAGGTTTAGGTAGTTTGTGAGGGCCCGCAAAAAAAACCCCTAAAATTAAAATTAAATTCACCTGACTAATCTGATGCTGCAGCCGCCATGATGTCACTCTGTTGGAAACATCAGAGACAATTTCAACTGGAAACCAACTGCTGGGTTAACTTGCCTTAGCTCATCTGATGCTGTCTTATGTTATATCACTAACCCACTAACCCCCCACCCCCCGACCAAATTTTTAAACACAATGCTACTTTGTTTAAACCTTTACACACAATAATATTGATAAATAGAGAGTCCTGAGTCGAAGTCCAGGTGTAGGACCGCACCTTGTAGAGAATACCAAATTCAGGCAAATGGTGAAAGTGGGTTAGAGACAGATGCTGGTCCACCCCAAAGACCGCACACCCAAACACAAGAAAAGCAATCTAGTGTATGCGGTCCAATGCAGTGAGGAATGCACAGACCTGTATATTGGGGAGACTAAACAACCACTACACAAACGCATGGCTCAACACAGAAGGGCCAACTCCTCAGGTCAAGACTCTGCAGTCTACTTACATCTGAAGGACAGAGGACACTCGTTTGAGGACCACCAGGTGCACATTTTAGACAGAGAAGATGGATGGTTTGAAAGAGGTGTCAAGGAAGCATCTACACCAGGGTGGAGAAGCCGTCATTGAACAGAGGAGGGGGTCTACGCCACCACTCAACAAGCATTTCCTCTTGGCCTCAAGTGGAGATGCCAACGATGGTCGTTCAGACTTAGTTCTAACGACCATGATGACTGTCGTTACTACAGCCAGGAGCACTAACGAACCAGTGGTATCGATGATCCTAGCTAACGATCCCACTGAGGTTAAATAGCTGAGTTTCCCTGCCAGTCAGTCAGAACTGAAGAAGTCGAGGGGCGAAACGTCTTCTAGTATCTTCATCCAAGTCCAGTTGCCCTTGACTTTAACCTTTTTTTGGATGTAAAATACTGTAATAATGACGACATCATAAAACGCTGCCTCTGACTGGTTCTTGTTCATTAATTAACCCAGACTTGTTGAGATCAGAACGGAAAGTTGATTCAGACTGGAAGATGAAGGTGAGAAACGTGTCGGTTTCCAGCTTTCCATCAATTTTTAGCAGAACTTCCTGTTAAGTTTTAGTGTTTGTTACAGGAGCCTCGGCTAAATCATTTACCAATTTACAAAATGTTCATGCGAACTTATCTGACCTGAGAAGCAGCTCTCACTGTTAACGTTAGCTTGCTACTTTCAGCCTATCTTAAGTTTCCGTTGGTTGTCATAATCATGAAGCGTTACGAGTTGTTGTTATAATACAATTAAATGGTTTAACTTGTTAAATGCAAACACGTGTGCATTATTGTCATTAACAACATTTTGCTGCAACGTGATTAAACAGCAGGTTGCCGACCCACCGCTCCTGTTTGTTGTAGCTCACAGCTTCAACTTGTTTTTGAGAATTGTTCCAAAAAAGTCTGCTATTAAACAAGACTCTAAGTCATCAGCAAAAAAAACTATTTGTTGAACATTAAACTGTTGGTTACTTTAAAACTGACTTCACAGGGATATGGGAATATTTGATCTGTTAACTGCTTGCAGATTAATCGCATGACTTGTTCAACAGAGAACCTTGTTGCTCTCAAACATTGAAGGGAAAAATCAAATAGATTTCATGGTGCCTTGAAAAAGTATTTTTTGTATTTCAGAAATACTAAAATACAGTATTTTATCTTAATACATGATGAGGCCGCTGTATTTTGTACATGAATGTATGTGGAATCTTATTTTCAAATACATTTTGATGTGTCTTTGCCTTCCCTGATCATGGGAGAGTTTTTGCTTTCATGTTGATATTTGTTTTATACTGTGGACACCGGTACGTTGATCTCATCTCTTCTTCTCTTCATAGTTCAATAACTCAGTTGATTTCTAAATTTGTGAATTTAATTAATTAATTTCTGACCAAAACCTAGAAAAAGTATAAAAACTGTAGTGTGTTTTTTTTCTCTTCTAACATGTGAACATGGTGCACGTACCTGAAGCGGATGCAGTTATCTTGAACTGTCGCTCTGCCGTCGGGTGTTTTTATTTCATAAAAGTGTGAATAAAGCAGAACCAGGCCTGAAAGATCAACACGCATTAGAGGACTGTTTAAACCTGAGAGGCCAGAAATCTAGAAACCTATGTGCACTGTACAGTCCTGTAAAATGACATGCTGCACAGCACTGTAATCTCTGGTGAGACTTTCATACCAGCACCACAAAGTAAAGTTATAGAATAAAGTCATATTACATGTAAGTAAAGGATTCATCTCAACAAAAACTGAACATTTAGACCGTTTACTGTTTTACTAAAATGCACAACACATTTTTCAGTTTCTGTTAAACTCATCACTCTGTGTATATTTTGATTTGTTTGCATTTTCTCGAGTCGACTCACCAGAACTTGTTCCTGTCATTTTCCCTCCAATAAAGGAACGTACAGACTTCACAGTGACGGACTCACTGAGAGCAGAGTGCAGAGAGGAGACAGAAGGTGTGTCAGGGGAAAACAAGGAACCTGATTGGCTTAGAACCACCCTCCTCTTTCAATGGCCGTCACGGTGTGATACACTCCAGTAAATCAGAACTTTGACCTGCAGTTTGACTGTTAATAACCCTTTTCTGTCTCACACCAAATGAGCAACAGGAATAGTTTGATCCAAGTTTCAGCACCTGTAAACTTTTAGTTCAAGCAATTGTTAATAATTCAGTCTAAACTCAGCTAGCAGCCAAGAAGGCCTTGGTCAGCAAGGCCAGAAGATAAAACAATATGATTTATTGGAATATGACAACTGTCTATAGATGCTGGAACATGACCAGATCTCAACCAACATCCTGGTCACAGTTAGAAATATTGTTCAAAAGTACCAAAAGACCTGCTGACAGATCTCCTATCAGATTCAAACAGAAACAGATTTTCTCAGGTGAGCCGGATGCTGGATGTTTTACTTCTGGTTATTATTTCTGTGCTGCTTTGACAAAGATCAAATCTGACTTACTGCAGCAAATTCCATAAACAGGTTTGTCTTAACCACAATGTCTATCAAGATTTTAAATGAGTATGAACATTTTCCACCTGCATCAAGCAGAGAGGCTTCATCTCATGCATTTAGAGACAGATTTGTATAAATCACTCATCTCTGACAGCTGATACCATTGTTGTTTTTTATGGTGTTCATCTAGGAGGATAAACTGTTAAAACAGTTTAACATTGTTAAGCCATATCAACTGGTTCAGAGCCACTTTAGTTGTAACAGATGTTTTAAATATAATTTTCGTGCAGCCCAAAATCCTTTCTGACAGGACTTACATGTCCAACATGTGCAGTATACAGTAAGAACTTCAGTACCATAGTCCTGTAACTGACTTTATCTGTGACAATGAATGTGTTGATTCAACTCTGAGGTTATTTCTGATGCTGTATTTGTACAACAGGGTTAGGATTACAGTCAGCAGTAATGGTTGATTACAGTCAGCAGTAATGGTTGAGTCCACCTCTGTAGCCAGAAAGCAGACCTGTGATGAGTTTACTGCCTGCTGGGGAAGAGGAGAGTTGAGTGTGTTTTCATTACCAATACATGTTTCTGATGATGTAGTTCATATATGCTGAGGTAAATTGTCAAATCTTTTAAATGTCAAATCTCTTCCATTAAGTAAATGAATACAGATGCAAAAAAATCAGGAACAAAGAACAGAAAATCAAAAACCACAAAATCAGAATTAAACAGCAAGTTTATAAAATTTTCTTCATTAAGTTTAACTGAGATGGAAGTAGTCATTTCTCTTCTAATTTTGGGTGGTGATGGTGTAGTGGATAATACACATACCTTTGGTGTGTGTCTCTTACATACTCAGGAACTGTAAGTTGCTTTGGATAAAAGCGTCACCCAAATGATTAAATGTACACGTAATGTGAGGACTTGGCAGATGGTAACAAGTTAAACAGCAGATACCTTTCTTGTGTTTCAACTGTTTTCTGCAAACACATATTTCTTTTTTGAACACTGGTCAAGTGCACTGAGGATACTTGGATAAGATGAATAAAGATGTTTCAGAGAGAAGCCACTTCCTCCCACAGCGTCTCTGTGCAGGTAGAAACAAACCTGTGAGCTCTGTTCTGTTTCATCACTTTATCATCTAGTTTATTAGATTAACAACAGTCCACACTGAACTACAGGGAAACACTTTATTCATCTTTTAGAAGCACAAACAAAGAAAGCAAAGATTAAAGATTGATCTGAATTCTGTCTTAAGTTGATGTCATCAGTTATAAAGCATCCAGTCTTATCTGACATGGAACAAAACAATCGTCTATAATGTCATTCTGCATCATTCTGATTGATCTGATCAGCAGTTTAAATGATCTTCATGCTGTTTAATGTTTCATATTTGCTGTGATATTTGTGATTTGCAGAGAAAACAGGGTGAATGACATCTAAACATTTCATTTCACTTCCAGCACAAACATCATGTTCTTTCTCATATTCAAAAGAAAACAAAGATCATCTGTAATGAGCGAGCAGAGCTTCAGCTGCTGAAGTCTTTCTTTACTAAGCTGCTGTCTGTTTTTATCAGCAAATAATTACACAAACTATTAGGACAAAAGAAAAGAAAAGGCAATTATTCCCAGCAAAAGAGTTTTAAAAGAAGAAAAGAAAAATTTTCTACAGACTGAAAAGGTGCAGGCTGAAACAGCAGCTCACCCTTTTTTACAACGCTCAACTTATTAGAGGTGAAAAAGTCAAACCAAATGACTAATATCTCTAAATATATAATATATAAACTTTACAGAAAACCCAGTGAAACAGAGAAGACCCTGAATGTTACAGAGGAAACAATTATTTTCAGTAAAATAAAGCAGAAGTTTGAAACAACTGACTGAACAGAGTCACTGAGTTATTTAGATACTAAAAGCCTGATTGATCAATACAGACAGACTGAAATCAACATTTTGTCACTTGAAGAAATATTTTATACTCCACACTGGAGCTGACCCAGAGGGATATATCAGCAAATGATCATCAACACAAAATATAAAAAACAAAACATGAAAATATTTAATTAGAACAAATGTATTGTTTTTTTTTATCATAACAGCAACTGGGACACAGTGTCCCACAGTAGCTTCTACAGTGTTTTAGTTGAATGCCACGATCATTTGATTACCAAAATAAAGTAAAATATAAAATCAAATCAGAAACAGCTGGTCTGAGATCAGCTGCGTAGTCAGTGCAGCTCTACATCAACATGATCTGTCTGAGCAAAACAAAAAGTCTGATACTTTAAAGTCTTGTATTCTGCACAAGGTTGTAGTTTCACCAGTCTACTACATCATCACTGTTGCTATGGTTATTATATTAATATACTCTGCTGATGTAAACACCTGACAGCCAATGAGAAGTATTTATGTGGCCATGGTAGGCATCACTGTGTAGTCCACTGCAAAAAATTACAGTGAATGTTTCTTTAAAGTTTCAGTTATTTAAACAAATGTGTGATATGGTACCAAGCGTTTTCTAAAAGTGATATATTTTCTTGGTTCATAAGTTTCTTTATCAAGTGATTTAGCTCTTCTTCATGTGTTTCCTGATGATTTTTCTTTTCCTCCTCAGTTTTCACATTCTTCATTTTATGTTTATGTTCTTCGAGTAAGTTGATGATTTCTTCTATATTTTTTCTCTTTCTGATTACACATTTCACTAAGTTACAAATTTCATCTTGATATTTTTTCTTTAGTTCTTCTTCTTTTTTCTTGTTTTGTTCTTGTTCTTTCTTTAGTTCTTCTTCTTGCTCTTTCTTTAGTTCTTCTTGTTTCTTTTTGTTTTGTTCTTGTTCTTTCTTTAGTTCTTCTTCTTGCTCTTTCTTTAGTTCTTCTTCTTTTTTCTTTAGTTCTTCTACTTTTTTCTTTAGTTCTTCTTCTTTGTGAGATGAAAGTGCCTTTAAGATGTCATATTGTTCATCTTTTTTTGTAATTTCTTTGTCAAATTCTTGCTTCTGAGCTGTAAACTCCTTTCTGTATTTCTCTTTGAATTCATTGAATTCTTCAGCTTTCTCTCTGGCCTCCTCTTCATATGTCTTCTTCTGATTGTCCATTTCTTTCTTATGTTTCTCCTCAATGTCTTTTCTCTCTTTTTCTTCTTGTTCTCTTCTGATTCTGTCCTCTTCCTTTCTTTTCTTTTCATCATTTTTTCTTTCCTGTTCATATTCTTCTTGAAGCTTTCTAAGTCTTCTTTGTTCCTCCTGTTTTCTCTGTTCGTCTTCTTGATATCGGTGGTCCCACCATTCATTTTGTGTTTTCTCCCAGTTCTCTTGTTTTTTTCTCATCTCTTCTCTGCTCTCCTCCAGCTTTCTGTCAATGGTTTCCTTTGTTTCTGACTCTGATCTTATTTTTTTCTCCAAAGCTTCAACCTCTCGTTTCCACTCCTGTCGTTGAATTTCTTCCTGTTGTTTTCTCTTCCTGTCTTCTTCTTCTCTCTTTTCCTGTTCTCTCTTTCTCTTCTCACGTTCCTTATTTATGTTTTCCTCTTTTTCTTCAAGTTGTTTTTCTCTCAGTTTTCTCTCCTTTTCAATTTCTTCTCTCTGTTCTTCCACTCTTATTTTCATCGCCTGCATATTTCTCTCGTATTTTTTTACAAGCTCCTCCCTCTCTCTCTTCCTCTCTTCTTCCTTCTCCTTCAGGATTCTCTCCATTTCTTTCTTTATAGCTGCCTCGGCCTCTTGCAGCATCTCATTGGTGTAGCAGCTGCCTCCATTTTCCTTCACCATGCTGTCAATCTTGGTTATCAGCTCACTGACTTGTGTGCGTTTTTCTTCATCACAGTTATCAAACAGATGGTATCTTCCTCCACAGTCAGAGATCAGCTTCTTAAAGGAATCATCACATTTATTTTCAATGTATTCTTCAATGGAAACTTTCTCACGCTTTAGTTTATCTCCTCCAGTTAAAAGAATGATGGTGAACTTTTCAGCATTCTTCCCAAAGCCTTCCTTGATGAGTTTTAATGCCTCCTTCTCCTCTGGTGTAAATCTGCCAATGTGTAACACAAACAGGAAGACATGTGGTCCTGGAGCCAGAAGACTGATGCATTTCACCATCTCCTCATTAACTTCTTCACGGGACAAAGTTGTGTCAAAAAGACCAAGGGTGTCGACAACAACGACCGGACGACCGTCCACTTCACTCTGTGCTTTCTGACAAAGTTTGGTCACTGATTTTTGACTTGATTCAGCTTTAAACTCGTCTCTTCCTAGAATGGTGTTTCCTGTAGAGCTCTTTCCACTTCCAGTCTTTCCTATCAGCACAATCCTGAGACTCTCTGGGCTCTGCTCCTCATCATCACCTGGGAAAGAAGAAGACCTGGAGTTACTTTCTCAGTAGCTAAAGTGAATATTAAAGACTGTAATGTACAAAATGGTGAGGGACACAATAAAATCATTTCAATTCAAAGTACTTACAAGTGATCTTGTTCTTCTTCATCAGCCTCTCAAGTTCAACTTGTTGCCTGTTGATATATTTCTCTCGTTGTATGAGTTTTTCCATTTGTGCACATGCAAATGTTACAGTTGTATAACAGGATGGTTTAACTTTAGACTGGATATTTTTGTCCACCATGTCCAGCAGCTCTGGGATCTGCTGCTTGTCCTTGATGTTGAGAACAACATCTCTTCCTCCACAGCTCTGACGGAGCTCCTGGATGTCCTTGTTTTCCTTTAGAAAGTTAACAACAGCTGGAGCTGCAGGATCTGACTCCACAGTCAACAGAATCATGGTGAAGTCATCGACTCGAGAGCTGAATGTGTTCTGGATGGTCTCTAACTCTCCCTTGTCTTCATCAGTGAGGGGACCCACAGGTAGGACCAGGATGAAGACATGGACGCCCTCAGGATCACAGAGGGAGATACACCTGAATGATTCCTCCATCACTGCCTCCTGAGGTTTTCCATACAAGGCAGGCAGCTCCACCAGGGAAACCCAACGTCCACACACCTCTCCCTGATGTTTAACACACTCTGATGAGTTGGAGACTGAAAGAAACTCTGTCTGACCTAAAATGGCCTTGGCTGCTGAAGTCTTCCCTGCTCCTCTCCTCCCACACAGAACCAGGTTTAAAGCTGGTTTGATGTGTTCAGACTTTGGTCTGATGGTCTCTTCAGTGAAGGTGAGGAAGGCTCCTCTGTTTTCATGCACAATGTTCTCAATGTCACCCATTAACAATGTGAGGTCATTTTTAAACATCTTGTAGTGTCTTTCTCTACAGTTTTTAAGGAGCTTACTGACAGACTTACGTGTTCCATTCTCCTCATGTGTCACTATGACCATTGAATGTTTAAAAGCATCTTGACCAAACAAACTCAGGATGAACTTCAGTGTTAGTCGGTTCTTCTCTGTGAAATCAGAAACCTTCACTAACAGCAGCAGAACATTTGGTCCAGGAGGACAAAGACTGATGCACCTCCTCATCTCTTCCCTCACTGTCTCCTCAGATAGACTGAACATGTCTGGAGCTTTCACTACTGTTAATGGTTTTCCTCTCCACTCTCCATAGGCAGACATACAATGCTTGATCTGAGACTGGCTTTGGAATGGAAATTTTTCACCCACTAACATAAAGTTACCAAGTTTGGTCTTATCATCCTCACTCTTCCCAAACAGCACAATTCTGAGTGTAGATTCTGTAATATAACATAAAGAGTAAATGTATTAAAAACCGCAGCAAGCATTCAGTCTTTTACAAACTCAAAAAAACCCAAAAAAAAAACCCAAATCTAAAGATTATCACTATTCATCTCTCTGTATAATATTGGGTTCTTTCATAAAAAATATGAGTCCTACATGTTTTGTTTTATGTGTCAATTCTGGAATATATGTTAAGCATAATTGTCACATAATTGTAAAACACATTCTTAAAAATCTGATAATTCTGATTAATATATGTTGTGTAAATCATTTGCTCACCCTGTTTGATTGTGCTTTCAACTGGTGATGAACTGTGTGATGTGCTTCGCTTGAACCCTGTAAAAGAAAGAACCATCAGCTACAGACATCAGATTCATCTTATTGATCTTTATATACAGTACATGATCATTACTCTCATGAATGTACAGCTGGGTAAAGATTTTCCTTTTGTGACTTGATAAAAACATCAAGTGTAATAATGTTTCAACCTAATCATTAAATACATTGATCACATTATCAAAACTGTTTCTCACCAGGAGCTCCAACAGGACCCAAGTCAGAAGTGTTTGTTTCCTGTTGCTTCAAGCTTCGATGATCACCAGATACAGCAGGTACTTCATCTTCAAACACATCACAGCTCTTTTTTACAATTTGATCCAAACAAGTTAACAGCTCTGGAAGTGCACGGTTCCTCAGGTTCATAGATCTGTTTCCACACATTCTGATTAAGTCTGTTAAGTGTGGGTGTTGCGTATAGCTTTTAATGACTCCTGAGCTGTCCTCTCTGGGTGTTGACGTCAGTACCAGTGAATGATCAAATGATTGATCGCTGAAAAGCTCCAGGACTCCACAGAGACTCAGCTTTTGTTTCTCAGTGAAGAATTCACGCTGTAGAACCAGCAGGAACACATGAGGTCCAGGATCAGAGAGTCTCACACAGTTTGTCACATGTTCTGTCAGTTTGTCTTCAGAGATGTAGGGATGCAACAGATCTGGGGTGTTGATGAGAATTATTTCTTTCTCCTCCAACCGTCCTCTGACTGTCAGACAGTGGTCTGGTTCATCCTCAGTGTTGAACTTAGTCTCTCCCAGTATGATGTTCCCCGCTGAACTCCTCAGAGACCAGCTGTTCCCCAGCAGAACAACCCTCAGCTCAGACACTGAAAAGAAAACAATATATCAGAAAAAACTGTTCAGTGTAGACTACGACCATAATAAAAATAATCATATTGGAAATTCCCCCGTGACCCGATCCCGGATAAGCGGATGAAGATGGATGGATGGATGGATGGATATTGGAAATTCACCAGTGATCTGGAAAAATATTATTGTAAATAAACTAATAAACTGAGTTTGTACCCACCAAATACAAACACTGTACACTTTAGATGTTAATATACAGAAGAATAATTCTGACTCAGTTTAGTTTAACTCACTGTTGGGTGGCAGATATTGAAAGCTGCTGCTGCTGCACTTCAGTTGTTTCAGATCAACTGTCACTGTAAGGAAAAAGAACACTGATTCATTCACATGTAATCTTTATGTTATGGGACACTAGTCCTAGAAGGATATATTGCTGATAGGTATTTAGTATTTTTAGTTGAATGTTTTTACTAGTTTAATTCAATCTAGTAAAAACCAAGATCAAGGGATGAGCTTCTGCCTTTGATCCAGACAGAGTGTGCAGGCAAAACTCTGACAAAAGTAACATTCAATTATATTAAATTGCATTTCATTTATATAAATTCACAACATAAGTTATCTGATTGCATTTTTCATATAGAGAGGGTCTAGAGTGTACTCTTTATAATGTTTGATCTGTTTCTGCTTCTTTTGTGCAGTTATCTTGGTCTGCTCTGTCAGTGGTCTGCTTGCCTTATCTGTCTGTCTGTGTTGGTTATGACCTTGGTTTGTCTTTCAGTGGTGTTTATTACAGTTACATTTATTAATTTAGCAAATGTTTGACGCTTCCATCCAAACATTTATTACAATATTTTAATTAATTATTACATTTTTATCCAAAAAATACATTTGAAGAACAACATACAAGCATCAACAAAGCATCAATACAGCACGAGATTTACAGCTAACATATATATACACATACAAGTAAGAGCAGCAAAAAAATACTAGTAAGAGCTGATAGCACGTATGGCATCAATGGGGTAAATACCTAGGGAAAGAAGTAATAGTTAACAAAAAACCGCAATCAATACATTTTAACGGGGTAGAAGAAGAAGGGCACAGGAGGCACATGTTAGAGGTTAGGGGTTAGAGGTGTTATAAGAGGAAGCATTCTCAGAAGAGATGAGTTTTCAAGAGTTTCTTGAAATTAGAGAGGGACGCCCCTGCTCTGATGGCGTGTAGTAGCTTGGCCCACCATCGTGGTCTTATCGTGGTCTTACAGATGAGAATAGGGACTGAGATTGCTTTGTGTGAAGGGATGGAAGAGCCAGGTGGCGTTCGTTGGAGGACCAATTGCCGAGAAGAAATTTACAACATACCAACATAATTTTGTATTGTACTGTAGTTAGATGGGTGCAGACCCAGTAGTCACTCTGTATGCAGCATTAGTGACTTGAATTTGACTCGGGAAGCCACGTGTAGCCAGTTTAGGACACTGATTAATGGAGTGAAATGAGTCCTTTTGGGCTGATCAAAAATCAGACGCGCCGCTGCTTTCTGAAGAGAAGCCATGGGAGCGAATGATCGGCCACACTGATGTGGCGTAGATTGAGAAGAGAACGGGTCCTAGCATCGAGCCTTGGGGCACCCCTGTGTAGAGGCAGCGGGAGGAAGATAACTTTTCTTTGCCACAAAACATTGTAGGAACACCCTATGGGGTACACCCTGGACAGGTCGTCAGTCATATAAATACTTCCCAGATGGTCAGAAGGTGTGGGCGAAAGAGTAATTGCTGGATAGCCCAGTGGGGGTAGCAGAGTTTTCTGGTTTGATCCAGATCTCACTGAGTGCCAAAAGCCCGAGGGATAATATATTAGCATAAACAGTGATAAAGTCAGCTTTGTTGACTGCAGATTGGCAGTTCCATGACACGCTACCTCTTGCCTGCACCAGAGACAACAGGAATAAGATGGTAGCACATGACGTAAGTGCAGTTTTAGCCAGCAGCTTTTATGTGAGAAGATGTGTTAAGAAAACGCTGGTCCTGTCTGTTTCCACCTTGTTTGGAGTCTGTATTATCTGTTATTTTGTTTGCTCTGTTTGTTCTGTGCTTTGTATGTTGTTTCTGCAATTTTCTCTTGTGTTTATTACTACCTGCCTCTGTTTTCTTGTGTCTGGTGGTCCATAGACTGTATAAAACAATGGACGTAATGTTCGTGACACTAGCCGTCGCCATCTTGGTAGCGCGTCACTCCCGGGTAAACCAAAAATGGGCAAAGAGGGAGGTCGTGGGTGGAGCTGAGGTGATTAGTTGCTGAAACCACGCCCACCTAGCTCGACGTGACCGAGTTAGCTCATGCTAAGGAGCTAAAGCTATATGCTACTCTGTGTTGGCAGAAGTAGCTTCAATCCGGGGTTACTCTGGTTGGCATTTGGTAGCTTGTGGCCGCATTTGTTATGATCGATGAGCGCAAAGCAGGAAAGAGCCCAAATGCAAGACACTGAAACTTGCAACATCTAAAACACAGAACAGGTAGTGCAGCAACTGGCAGAACACACATCTACGACAAATGACAATGACCGGACTGGGACTGAACGGAAAAACCAAACATATATACCAGAGATGGGGACTCGAGTTAGAGACTCGTACTCGAGTGCGACTTAAGTCACACACACAGTGAGATTGGTCCTCAAAAGACTTCAGACTCGACGAATGAAGATGAATGAGCGTTTGTTTACTTGCCAAACTTGTGGTGGTCGATAAACGTAATTACTTACGTCCCACTGGCTGCCATCACCTTAATTATTGCTGTTGGCTAGAAAGAGGTTACAGGTTTATTGTTGATCATGTAGCCGTACAGTTTTATTTAGTTATAACGTTACACTGGTTTGAGAGTCTGGTGGTGTGTTGACTTACAGTAGTTTAAGCTGCCATTGATTGCATTGCACATTACAGGGTTGTGCTCTGTAAGTTAAAAACTGGTTACAGGTTTATTGTTGATTATGCAACGTCACAGTTTTATTTACTTAACGTTACACTGGGTTTAAGAATCTGGGGAGTGTTTGACTTACAGTATTTAATAAGCTGTCAATAATTGCATTGCACATTACATGGTGCTCTGTAAATGAAAAACTGGTTACAGGTTTATTGTTGATTATGCAACTTCACAGTTTTATTTAGTTAACTTTACACTGGGTTTGAGAGTCAACAGGGTTTGTTGACTTACAGTAGTTTATAAGGTTATAAGTCATTAATTGTAGACACATTGTACATTAGGCTACATGGTTGTGCTCTAAGTTAAAAACAGACATGTTTATTGTTGATTATGCAGCGTCACAGTTTAATTTAGTTATATAGAGTCCGGGGAGTGTGTTGACTTACAGTATTTAATAAGCCGTCAATAATTGAATTGTACATTACATGGGCGTGCTCTGTAAATGAAAAACAGGTTACAGTTACAGTACACTATGCAGTATTATTAGCAACCTGGATTGAACGCAGCAGGTGATACAACATTCATTATAACCATATTCCAATCATGGTCCGGACCATGATTGGCTCTAAAATGCATGATTGATACGTTAACAATATTACATTTTATACAGCGTTGCACATTCATAATTTACCAGACTAGAATTTCAGTGGATCAACTACAGGAGGCTTTCTGGCGCTGCAGTCTTACTGGTCATAACTGGCAGGAACCGGTTGTCCACCAGTTTCCATCCCCAATCCACTGTGTTCATGTCACCTTCCTTTCCAATCCACACCATGATCTGGAAGTAAACTCTTTGCCAGTGGTATTTGCCTCAGTTGGAGACAGATGTTCTGGGGTAAAAAATGATTTGGCGGTAACACTTTTCTTGCTAAAAAGGTTGTAGCGCAAAAAGGCAAGTGAATCAGTACTCTTTCCGCCAAACAACACTGCCATTGCCTTGGTCCCATAGTCCTCTATGATATTTCTTGCTTGATGTGGGAGCAGAGATACATTTGCACAGGACTGGATGGTTGATTCACCATTCACAAGTTTCTGGGATGCAGTCTGTTTGCCAACACTAAAAATGCGTAGTTACAGTATATCACATCCTGTGCAGCAACTGGGAGCACAAGTCACTACCCAGGACTTTTTTCATCTCACTGATGTTGTACACTTTAGTAGCTTTGGACTTGTCTGAACGAAAATAGAGGCCTCTATTATTCGTCCCAGCATAGTAGAGTAGAAGAATGAGTAAGTCTGTATCCTCCCCTATCAAGGTTGTGGGCTGTTGTTTTGAGGCCTTGACTGCAGCTTTGACAATGTCCACGTCTGCATCACCTGATGCATTAATAACAGTGCATCCCTTCTTCTCCAGCTCCACGGTCATAATATTGATAAGTTCTCGTTTGTTGCATGACCTGGAAAGGAAATCATCCTTTTCTTCCCACAAACTCCCACAGTCTCTGCATTGAAGTTAACGATAGGGTCTCTCTCCACGTCTCTGATGTGTATTCTTTGATGGAAGGACCTTCGCTATAACCATCAAAAATCACTGTTGCTTTACCATAATGGCGTATGGTAAAGTCTGCATATGACTGTGCAATGGCACCGTAACTGTCACCCTTTTTCCATGCCAAGCGGTGAACCAGGGAGCCACCGTCAAGGACATAATGCTCAGTTGGTGAGATGGAGTCCAGGACAGTTTTGTTAGATTTCTTGACTCATTGACTGCCTGCGCTAGTAGGGGCTTGTTGGCTTTATGGAAAATTTCCTTTCCTTTCGAACAGGGCTGCAGGAAATGAGCAGAGCTCATAGCTCATTACATCTTCCAGTGAAAACTGTTCAGTTTTCGACATGATCAGGAACCATTGGAACAGCAAAGCAGGATCAATGGTTCGGTCTTGGGCAAGAAGGGGTTTTGCCCCGTCTTTCTGTTTGAAGGATATTCCAAAAACAGGGTTTCCAATCATATTTTCAATGATCTCATTGCCAACAATCTCAAACTCATGCACATTCACCTCCTCTTTGGCAACAACACCAGTTACAATGTTTCTCAGAGATGGGTCTGGAGAGAATGGTGTGTAAATTCCTTGATCAGAGTGATCTCTCTATTCTTGCTTCTCAGGATTCTCTGTGCTGCTCGCTGATCATGTAGGTGAGGTCATTGAATTCCTGCATGGCGCTGTTGTATTCAGATGTGATGGGTGTAGACATGGTCCACAATGCTCGCATTTCTTCAGTCATTCCACTTCCATGGGTCAAGCTTCCACTGATTTTCAAGGATCGCATCAATGTCTGCACGATGACAAGGTCAGAGCTAAGACCTGCCCAGTACTGGTTGCTGCGGCGGATCACATGGGACCTCTCATTTACATCAGGGTGTCTGGTCTCGAGTTGGC